TCGGACCTTGGTGATGAATCACACCACTCCGATTTCCTTACGAAAGACCACCATTACATTTACACCGCTCTTACGTGTCGGCCTCACGTCCCCCCATTCATGCCGGCTCTCATTTGAGCTTGACCGACGGTCCATACCCCTTTGACCGCGCAATTTTCGACGTATGTCACGATCACGATACCTGCTGCATGACCCTAGACTCCTGGTCCGATGGCGTTATAGTACTCAAGGCGGATAACCTAACAGCATTTTCTTTGTTCTTCTTTTTCGGCTGGGACTTTGGAAGATGAATGCTGTGGTAGCTTGTTTGTTCTCAAATCTTTTAATGAACGAACTGGGCCTCGGTATATTTCTTTCTTGCTTACTTTGCCAACTTGTCGTATTCCTATGTATACGCAAGACCCTTCCTTCCCCCTTTCCTTTCTGTCGGATTCTCGAATTATTCCACCTGTGTACTCATTCCAACTCTGTTACTCTCTTTCTATCTGTACTGGCGCCCTGGTGTCGCATACATTTCTCTTTTTTTCATTTCATTCATGTCTCATTGTTTGTCTTTTGCTTCTCCTTCGCTGTTGTGGGTTGTCTTTGTCTGTTTCACTTTTGGGGCTTTGACTCAATCTCTATTGCTTGTGCCATTATGTCCATCGCATATTCCAATGATGCGTGTCAGAGCGGCAACTTCTGTCTTGGGCCATTAACTCCAATTCTTGCGCTTTTAAGCTTTGGAAAAGTCGGCGGAGATTTGAACCTATTCTATACATTAGAAAAGGGCCACTCGCCATCCAACTCATTCTGCAACTTACATTCTGGTCCTGTTGTTCGCGCAGGATTCTAAATATGTTGTTGGTTAGTGGCCTTTATTCACGCTAGCTTGTTCATTGGAATCCTATCAATTTTCTCGGAGCCTTTGTTCATCAGTAGAAAGATGTAAAACCGGGACATTTCTCTAGTATCTTAGGGCTTTTGCTTGGTCATGTGTAGCCAGCTTCATAGATATTCTGAACAACAAAGCTAATAACCAATTACAAAGAGCAAGCTAAACAAAACGAAACATTATGGATAGACAACCATCCCAATCAAGAACATCGCTCAATGCAATTCACATTTTATACCAAAGCCCTCTTCATCAAACGAATCAACCACGCAGCATCCTCCCACCCCCCCTGACTCCCAGGCTTCTCAATAGAAGCAGCACTGCCAATAGAACCCTCCCCATCATCCGATAAATCCGCATCCCGAACCGAACAAAGCGAAATCGTATCATCATCCCGCCCAGCCATCAAAACAGGCTCCTCGAATGTAACAGTAGTAGTAGTATCCGCCGAACCAATGCGCGAAGCAGCCTCCACAGCCGGACCAGCCGCAGGCCACTCATCAACCCCGAAAAGCGTCCACTCGACCAACCGGTCAATCCAAGTGCCGAGCCCGAACCCGCGCTCGCGCGTCAGCCGCTGCAGATCCGCCTCATCGAAGTCATCCGGCATCTCGTCGGAGTCGAACGAGTACTCTGACAAAGCCGAGTCGAATTCGGAGCCCGCCCCATCCCAGTACACAGAGTCTTCGTCCGGGTATGACCGCTCGCAGTGCCGTAGCGATGCCATCTCCGCACGGATTCGCGCGTCCACGAAGTCAGGAACTAGGGCAGGCATACGGCCGCGCGCTTCGGGGCTCGCCGTGCCGGTATTCGTGCCCGAGCTGAAGGACACTTCCTTCTCTGCTGTGGTCGGGGAGGTAGCCGGGATGGTGGTCATGGTTAGATGGACTCTGTTGCTGCCGGGTCTGCTGCCGGCGCGGGAGCGGGAGGTACGCCGGGAGAAAGCACCGGCTCCGCCTGGGGTTGAGGCGCCGGAGCGTGAAATGTGTGACGAGGCGCCTGATTTGGTGCGGTGGTGGTGGCGTTTAGTGAGTATTTCGTCCAAGGCCGTGTCTGGGACGAGGCTTGTAGAGGACTCGCGCTTGGAGAGCCAGCTTTGGCCTTTTTCCTCGCGGGTCGAGGAGGCCAGGGCAATGCCGGCGCGCAGTATCCATTCTGCGTCGGATTTGGGGTTCGGCGTGTTGTCTGGGAGGGGACGTCGTCCTTGCGAGTATGAGATGCTGGGCTGTTTTTTGTGCGTGTTTGGAATGTGGTGGAGGGCGTAGCCTAGGTCCCGACTGTGTAGGTTCGTGTCGCTTAAGGCTACTCTCCCTGTGGAGCTTTTGCTGCGCGTGTGACGGTTTCGCGAGTTGCTGCGTGAGTGGGAGAGGATCGGTGGCGTGCTTGGGACTGAGACGCTAGATATATAGGATGATGCTGGGGGTGTGCGGCTGCCGCTGGCTGGAGTTTCATGGTCGGAGTGGTTGAAGTAGTCTGTTAGGTCTGTGTCGTCATCAATAGGGAATCGTGGGGTTAAGGGTGCTATAGAGATATGGCGGAGGGATGGGTATGATCGACGGGACTGGAAGCCTCCCGAGTTAGTGGTGAACTATATATGCCCCGTTAGATATCCACTTCAAATTTTGTGCAGGTCAGAATATAGTATTTACCTCCATCATGGGTTTTCCAGTCGAAAGCTCAAGCACAATCAGAATCAGATGTGAAGAGGTCGAGACGATGGAGATGCGGAGTTGCTGCACGTGCGGCTGACATGTGAAGATGGTCGGCCCCGGCAATTGTCTTGAAGTTATTATGCCCGAGGATAGAAATGTTATCAAGAGATAGGATCTTGAGATATATTATTGGAATGGTGTTGAATGTAAATAAGCCGAGTGAGATGGAATGACCGATGTATGACGGATCTATAGAAATCGTCCAACATTGCGAGTTGTGTAGTCAAATCATACGATTAACAACTGTGGCATGATGAATGCTCATTTGGTGCAATCGAACAGAAGTAGGAAAATTCAGAGAGGTTTATTTGTTTCTACAAAATAAAAAAAGCATACACAGGAGTATGTCGACATATATCAGTACCGCCTACAGGCGCGAATCCTGCAAGTCCAAATATCCCTGACCCTTGATCTTCAAGTCTTCTAGAACATTGTACTCCATAATCCACTTCATGCGCTCCGTCAATGCATCCGGGTTGAAGTTGTTGGACATCTGGTCGGGGGAGTCTGAGCTAGCCAACTTGCCGGCTTCGTAGCTTGTCTTTGTGACCCGGTCTGTCCGGGGCTTGCGCAGGTCCTGGTAGAACTTGAATGCAGTCTCTAGGTCGTCTGTCTTCCAGTGTCTGAGAATTGTTGCAAGGGCAATGCCGGATTCGATTGCCATGCATGTTCCTTGACCTATCGAGTACTATTAATACATGCCCCGCAATAAGACTAGACACAGATAGGATGCAACGTACCTTGATGAGGAAGGGTCGAGTGCGCCGAGTCACCAAGCAGGATAATACCAGCATCTTTCTGCCCACTCTTCATCTCATACCATTTTTCGATCGGGTCACGCACGTACAGCGCCTGTTTGAGCATCTTGCCGTCCTCGGAGCTCTTGCGCAGACCAGCGATGATGTGCTGCACCTCTGGGCACCAGTCACGGACATGCTCCTGGAGACTATCAATATCCGAGCGGGACATCCAGCTCTCAGAATCCCATGCATCAAGCGGCTCGGACATAAACCCGATGATGGCAGCACGGTCGGTCCCCGTCTCCTGGTTACCAATAGGCAAGATCAGGACATGGCGCTTGGGTCCACGGAAGTTAATAGTCTTGCGCAGTAGCTGTGCCGTCTCAGTGGGTAGGTCCTTGTAGTCGACGAATCCACGATAGACCACCTGGCCAGAGTAGTTGGGGTCGTCTCCTAGGCCCATATCCCGGCGCACATTAGACTTGATACCATCACAGCCGATGACAATATCAGCCTCGGCGGTGCTGTCATCCTGGAAACGAAGGGTATACGGTGCAGCACCGGCGGCAGTGTTGCGGTCGACGGATACCAGGTGCTTACCCAGATTCAGGCTGGACTCGGGCACGCGCTCCTTCAGCGAGTCCAGTAGGTGGGCGCGGTGTAGCAGGCGCGCGTGGGGCTGCGAGAATTCAGCAATGTGACCTATGTACTCCCCAGTCTTGTAGTTGTGGTATTCCATGTAGCTAGGCAGCTTGCGGGAGGACTTCCGCATCATACTCTCTTGCAGACCGAAGGCATCCAGAACGCGGTTTGCGTTCGAGGTAATATTTACGCCGGCACCGACCTCACCGAACTGTGCAGCTTGCTCGTATAGCTGCACGTTCTTCAGACCGCTGTACAGTGCGGCATTGAGAAAGGACATGCCCCCTAGGCCGCCGCCGACGATTGCGACTCGCTTGTCTTCGAAGCCCATTGTGATGTGGGGGAGATGTTGATAATGAGATGTGGAAGAAATTTGGGGGTACTGAAAACAGAGGTATTATTCGAGGAATGAATGATAAGCGATACTCAGGTTCTTAAGCAAGCTTAATGTGTCTTCCCCTGCGAAGCATTACCCGATCAAACGTCTTGGAGATGCTCTTCGGAGCGTGGAGTAAATGTGGGGTGAGCAACGATTCCGAGATTCCACTTCAGGTCTCCCGAGTTCCATGTGGAGTCCATACCCTCCAGGGGTATTTACCAAATCTCAAGAATCGGTTTGGAAATATACAGCTTTGGGGGCTTTCAACCGTTGGTATTCTGCTTTATATCACTTACAGTGATGCCGGATTCAGTACTATGAATCAACCCCCGAGGTGGAATGTCTTGATATAGCCCTGTAAATTTCAGATCGCTGGCAACTAGTAGCAAAGTACTCCGTAGGATATTATACAATAGTCAATTCCGGATGATCTGCGAAGAACAGAATAGAGTCAGGTCTCAGAATCGGAAGCCCCCGCTATTTTGGAGGAGCCATATCCGAAATCCCCAGGCCGTCGGATCATCTTTTGATTGGCTCGGCGGCAACAGAGAACCCTCGGCATCGGCAACTCCGCTATATCAAATCATCATGTCTGTCATTGGCCGGGTAAAGCTTCTCGGCATGTTTGAATGGACTCCATAATTAACCGGCTTTTACTCCACAATTTTTCCCTTGTTTACAACAAAGCCTTCCAAGGCGGCAATAGCCGCCCACAGCCGATTTTCGGCTTCAGGGAAGACCAGAGAGCGCGGGCCGTAGAAGACCTCATCATCCACTTCCTCGGGGTGACGGGGTAGGCAGTGCATGAACTTCCAGCCCTCCTTAGCGCCACCGCGCTTAGCCAAATCAGCAGTGATCTGGAAGCCCTCAAAGGCCCTCATGCGCTTCTTAGACTCCTCCTCCTGGCCCATGGAGACCCAGGTATCCGTAACCAGGATGTCGGCGTTCTTGACGGCTTCCTCGGGGACATTGGTCTGGGTGAGCTTGCCAGCCTTGTCAACTCCCTCACCAGCGCGTTGGATGATGTCAATCATATGCGCAGGGATCTCGTAGCCCTTAGGAGTAGCAACAGCCACGTCCACACCCATCTTAGTAGCACCAATGGCCAGATCGAACAGAACGTTGTTCGCATCACCAACCCAAGCGATCTTAAGACCCTCCAGGCCCAGGCCGGAGAGCTTGTGCGCGTGGGCCGGGAAGTTCTCGTGGATGGTCAAGAAGTCGGCGATGATCTGGAGAGGGTGGAAGGAGTCGCAAAGTGCATTAATCACAGGTACGGTGGAGTGTTGTGCCAGACCTGCGACGTCCTCGTGCTTGGCGACACGTGCGACAATGCACGAGACCATGGAGGAAATCACAACGGAGGTATCGTATAGCGACTCGTTGACACCAAGCTGGATGTCATCCTTTCCGAGGAACATGGGGTGGCCACCCATCTGGACGGCGGCGGCTTCGGTGGATACACGAGTGCGAGTACTGCGCTTGTTGAACATCATGGCCACGGTCTTGCCGGAGAGAGATCCCAATAGGCTTTCGGGAATGGCCCCGGACTTGATAGCACGCTTGTGCGACGCAGCATTGCGGACCAGGGTCGCGAATTCCGTAGGGGTCAGGTCTGCAATGGAGAGAAGATGACGAGGGGCGAAAGGAGAGGTGGGAGGTAAAGTCGGTGTCTGGTGGGCAAATCGTCGGATTCCATTAGCCTGGAGTGTTCGACGCAAAGATGAGGTGGAGCCGGCCAATTGGTTTACACTTTGGGCACCATAACGGGCGGCAGCTGTGAGACCACTAGCCATGATGAGCTGGGCGTTATTGATGAGGAGTTGGAACGTGGGAAGGGAATAGGAACGGGGGAGCCCTAAAAGTGAAGAACCATGACTCAATAAATTAATAGAGAGTGGATGTGCGAGGGGATTGATGCCTTGCGGCCCGATATGTCAGGTGTCAAGGTGTCAGCTCTCCACACCTGGGCATCCCAAGGTTCCGTTATCATCGGCTTATCGTCATCGAGGGCCTCTTCCAAGGTTATATCTTGCCTCTCTCTTCTTTCTGTTACGTGGTTCTGGATTCATCCATTTCATATAGCTGATATTGGCTCCGGATACTACAATTCATTGTGATTTATCTATACGTTTAGGGCCACGATGGCTGACGAGGCAAACCGGCCTCTGCCAGCTAAGCAGTTGGGCTCCGACGATCAGCCCAGGCCATCATATCAATTATCAACAGAGTCATCCCATATTTCGCAAATATCACCATCTCATTCAGACGAGGCCACCATGGCAGATTCGAACCCACGTCTGTTGGAGGAGCAGTCCAGCCCTATTACACGGCCTTCGGAGCGAACATCCGTCGACGAGCCTAGGCCATCATATGAATTATCATCAGAATCAACACCTCTATTGCACCGCCGTGATGCTGATGAATTGGTATACGGGACCGAACAAGGATCGCTGCGATCCCCGTCATTCGCATCACAGAACCCGCCCGAGGGTGGCGCCGTCAAGAAGCGGGGCCGTGTACCATGGCCGACGGTCATCTCTCTCTCTATTCTAACAATCAGTGTTTTGACGATACTGGTATTTGCCTTTGCTGCTCCCGCAGCCGTCAAAGAATATGCGCAAGAAGCCGCTGTCTTCAAACCGACCGCAGTATCAATCGATTCTACAACATCTGACGGCGTTCGAGCCCGGATTCAGGGCGACTTTATGATGGACTCGGGCCGCGTGAAGAATAAGTCGGTTCGAGGCATTGGTCGACTGGCGACATGGATAGCCAGGGAAGTTGAGACGGGTCCATCAAATGTCGAAGTTTATCTCCCAGAATATGGGAATGTGCTTGTTGGAAACGCAGCATTGCCCTCCATCAAAGTGGACATCCGCAACGGCCGTCATACCAATGTTGACTTCCTCACCGATCTAGAGGCGGGTGACATTCGAGGAATCCACGCGATAGCTCTTGATTGGATTGAGGGAAGATTGGGCCGCCTTAGTGTTAAGGGCAAGGCGACAATGCATCTCAAGTCAGGCTTGTTCGCTTTGGGAACTCAAGTCCTAACACACAATATCATCATTGAAGGTATAGTGTATTTGTTTTTCTTTTTACTACTGGACAATATAAGCTGACCCTTCCCAGAACATGATTTCCCTGTTCTGCCAAGGATCAATATTCTCAAGCTGAATGCGCGTGATGCAAGCAGTGGTGGCATGGCAGTGGATGTCTTACTTTCATCTTCGATTGATTCTCCTGTCGCTCTCACTGTTCCTGCCCTCGGATTTGATATTCTTGTGCCGAACTGTTCACCCGGGGATCCTTATATTCTGGTTGCCGAGGCGAAGACAAGTACGATAGACGTTCAGCCTGGCCAGATGACCGCAGTCGGCGTTGATGGTTTCATCCAACGATTACCCGATGAATTGACCTCTACCTGCCCAGGACGGGAGGGTTCTCCTCTGGATCTTTTAGTTTCGAGCTTTATGCAAGGTCTCGAAACAACTATCTACATCCGTGGGTCTGATGCACCATCACTCAGTACCCCGGCTTGGATTGTCAATCTACTGCGCAGCGTGACTATGCCTCTTCCATTTACGGGACATGCGCTGGACAACCTCGTGAAGAACTTCACGATGTCCGATACACATTTCTCCCTTCCTAACCCTTTCGCAGAGCCAGATTCTCCAGACTCACAACCCACAGTGTCTGCTCTAGTGAAGGTTCTTATTGCTCTGCCAGAGGAGATGAATTTCCAAATCGAAGTCCCGCAAGTTCGTGCCCTTGCAGATGTCTACTACAAGGAAGAGAAGTTCGGTGTGTTGAATATCAGCCACTGGCAAGACGCCAACTCCACATTGGTGAATGATCAAGATGGCTCCTCTGCACTCCTTGTGGAGTTTGCAATCAAGGATGCACCATTAGAAGTCACAGATGATGAACTTTTGGCAGAAGTCATCCAAGCAATGCTGTTCGGTAGCGAAACAGTCGTGCTCCGGGTTGCTGCCAGCGTAGACACAAAGGTCTCAACTGGTTTGGGCCGCTTCGCCTTGCGAGGGATTCCTGCGGAAGGGGAGGTACCCGTGAAGAGTATGTTCTCATGAATTAGAAGATCTTAGTACAAATCAAGAATATTTTGGCCATTGACCATGTCATAGCTTCCATCGGCAACTCACTTGACCACCTCAATCCACGCATCGTCTCATTACAACTAGGAGACACGACTGAATTTTCGATGTTGGTGTCTGCGCAGGCGAACTTTACTAATCCAACGAATTACTCGGCTACAGTCCCCTTCGTTGACCTTCTTGTACTCTACAATGACACTGTTGTAGCCCACCTCACCGCTCATAATATCTCTGTTGGGCCTGGTAACAACAGTTATGTGCCCGTCGACTTCTTTTGGTGTCCGTTGGACGAAGCTGGAGCAGATGGCGTTGAGGCAGGGCGGGCGCTGCTTTCATCCTATGTATCAGGTCAGGTCCTTCTAGGTATGAAAATGGTAAATTATGCTGATGGTTTTTTTCACTCAGGCTTGAATACAACAATCACCATCAAGAGCTATCGAAACACGATTCCATCTCTACCAAACCTGGGCGAAGCATTATCAGTCCTCAACATCACTGTTCCTATCCCTCGCATATCTATTCCGGGTTCCCCAGGCAGCGATGATGATGACAACAAGCCTCATTTTATCCAAGATGCAACGGTACATGCCCCTTCTACTCATACCATGTCCCTATCCAGAGAGGAGAAACTTGCTACTAACACTTATTTACTCATAAATATAGTTCTATCTCTGGTCCTCCACGGCAGAATTCACCCTTTCCTCACCTCTAACGGAGAGCAATGTTCTAATCACCTCAATCGACGCAACGGCTTTCTATGAGGAAAATGAGCCAATCGGCCGGATTAATAACCGTGATCCCTTTGCGGTGCCTCCTGGTATCTCCAAGAGCCCACGCTTGCCAGTTGATCTTGATATGGGTGGGGTTGGTTATGACGCCCTGCGCAAGGCCCTTGGTCAGTCGTTGGAGATGGATGCTGTCGCTAAGGTCGGAGTGCTGATTGGCAACTACATGGATATCATTTTCTATCATGGAAAAGGAATTTCGGCTAGAGTGAGGTTCTAGGCCGCGAGAGTGTTGTGTTGATGATGTAAAGCTGCCGCGACCTGTATAATGAAGGTCTTGCTTGGTCTTGTTTTGTGATTATTGCTGCTGGATCGGCAATGCCCATGTGCCTATAATATTTGGATGATTGATGCATAGGGAATTTGCTCGATTGAATTAATGCCCGGCGTTTTTTTGTCTCAGCCTACATCAAAAGGTGCAAACCAAGTAAAACCAAGAATAAAAGTAGAAATAGAAGCATATACAAGCCCCAAGGACTCCTATGGTTCCAATAAGTAAAAGACCAAGGCCTATATTCTTGTCCAGGTAGGACTTGGCTGAGCGGGTAATACCTCGCAAGTCCTATCTGGACACCCAGTGAAGAAAGGCAAAAAAAGTGAAAAAAAGAAATTTCAGGTAAATTGCCGCGATCAGTGTAAGATCTGATCTATCTGAGCTTGCGCGCTCGTTCCAGCGCCGTCTCATCCTTTCTTGAGATATGTCCTAAGACATGGGCTATTCTTCACTTCCTCCTGCTTCTTATTTGGGATACCCTCCTCTCTCCTTTCACATTTTCTTTTTTCATATTATTCTCCAACCGTGTAATACCATATGTTTTGGGTCGTTGCCACAAGTAGCATATAGTAGGCTTTATATATTATCTGCCTATGTAGTACATGGGTGACATTATGAACTGCAGAACAGACATTATATTGTAAACATGCACGCTAGAAGGCTTCCTGACAATCCTAAATCTGATCAGTTGTAAGCAGTTAGATGAAACTTCTTTCACATGGATTCGTGTATCGTTTATCGTTTATATATATTTGCTTGTGCTACATGGTATCACTATAGACTGCAGGTAGAAACTATAACCAATATAGAACCCCCGATTAAACGCCATTAACCTACATTGCTACAAATGATTTCTTAATGATAACCCGAAAGGCTATTGGGAGCACCTGTAATCTCCGGTCTAGGATGGCAAGATGGGAATACGATGTTGATGAATAAGTCGAAGTAGCAAGTTGCAGTTGAGGAAAAAAGCAAGGAATATTAAAATGCGAAAGAAACAATATTTGTTGTCATTTTACATACAATGGATGAGCCATTTATTTTGAAATTAGGTCAACTCCAGAAAAATAGAAGATACACAAAGCCAAGAGACCAATCCAATCCAATTCGGGTATGTGATGTTTTGAGGTGGAAATTTGATATAGCTTAGCCAGGGGGCAGGGTGCTGGCATCGACAACGTCGGCAGCTTCCTTCTCGATCTCCTCGCTGGGCTCACCCAAAGGAGAGCGGGGAAGGGCCATTAGACCGGTCCGGGTGGACTCGAGAATACCGAAGGGGCCGATCAGCTTAAGGAAAGAGTCGATACGGGAAGGCTTGGCAGAGCTGTAGGAGGTCGAATGAGTCAGTTTTTATCAAAAAGCCTGAGTCAGGATAGAGAATATACTTACACCTCGACAATGCAGTTGTTGGTGCTAATATCCAGGATCTTACCACCGAACTGGTGAGTCAGGCGGGTAATGGCATCCAAGTGCTCATGCTTGTGACGCAGAGCCTGACTCGGGGGAAGGTGACGGGGGTGGTATTGCTGGGCGGTGTGGTCAAGGCTGGCGTGCTTGTGGTCCGGAGAGTCTGGCGAGGTGGTCATCTCGCGGTGGTGCTGGAGCAGCTCCTCGAAGAACTCGGGGCCAAGGATAGAGACCTTAGCCAGGAGAAGCTCACGCTGCACAAGAGCGGAGTCGGTGTAGTCTAACACAGCCCAGACGGGGACGAGGTCATCAAGCTGGCGGCGAGCCTGCTCGACGACACCATCCTGGCCCTGCAACACGATAGTCATGCGCGAGAGATCCTCAACCTCGGTGTTGCACACAACTAGACTATCGATGTTGAAGCCGCGGGCGGCCAAGATACCAGACACACGGGACAGCACACCGGGCTCATTCTGCACAAGGCAGTTCAGGATGTGCCGCTTAGGTGGGTTTGAGGGCGGCATGGGAGTCTCATAGAGAATAGAGGAGACAGCGGTCGGAGCATCCCATTGAGGGGAGGCATCGGAGACCGGCAAAGGCAGAGGTGACCGACGGTGCAATGCCTTGTAGGCAAGAGCTGAAGTTGAGCTTGACGACGCACGAATAGAGGTGAATCGAGGAAGCGCAGCAACGCGGGATCGGGCAGCAGCTGTAGCAGATGACTGCAGCGACGCTGACCCTAGGGACAGCGTCAAAGGACGCCTGAAAGCCATGAGGAGTTCAAGTAATGTGAATGAGTTGTGCGATGATTCACTCCAGATCCGCCCGGGGTATATTCTTTTGAATCGGCCGATCTCGGCGACCGCCCGCTGACTCATAGTAAGCTAGACTTAAAGCGGTGTAGTACATCTGCCGGTTATAAAACCACGTGATTAAAACCACGTGATTCCCACCACGTGACCTTCAATCTTCAACATGCCTCGCTAGAAAACACCAACAGTCCTTGGAAATGAAGAATATATAATATTATTAGCTCTTCTGAGTATTCTGAGCTTATCAGCTACTCAAAACTTCCTTAATTTTGTCTTGGTGGCCTTGTTTGTTGGTGGCTTGGCTTTCGCCTCCCAAACTCCTTCGCGCACCTTTGAGCTTCTTTCCCCCGACTTCCTCTTCCTTTTCACCTTACCCCAACTTTCGTCATGGCGGACGATGAACATCGAGTCAAGCGTTCTCGCTTCGATCAAACCGAGCCTGAGCCCCGGCGATCCCGTTTTGATCAACGCTCTCGATCTCCGTCCAACAGACAGTCGGAGTCGGCCCGCACTCGTAGCCCGCTGAGTCGCCCGCTGAGTCGGACTCTGAGTCGCAGCCCTGGCGCAGATACTCCAGCAAAGCCACCTGTCGTGGATCCGGCTGCAGCCGCAGGTTCGTTACATCTAGGTTCATATATTGTTATAAATGAGATCATTTGGCTAATTATTGTGGTCTCTATAGCGGCAGCAGCAGCCAAGATTAATGCGCAGCTTCAGGCGAAAAAGGCCATTCAACACGTTGATGTCCCTCCAATTCGTTCTGTGAATATACACCCACTTCGATTCGTTCTACCCACCTCCTAACATCGTCGAACAGGCCGACAACGCGACAGAGAATTCCCAGTCACCCTCCGCCGAAGGCGCAGCGAAGTTGAATGCCGAAATCTATGTCGCAGATGGAGACTACATCAAGGACATTGAGATCAATGACCTGCGCAATCGCTACACCCTGACGAAGGGGTCTACTCAGAAGATGGTAATTATCCCCTTTGTCACTTGCTGATATTCCAGTCATGTTCCGCCTAGAAGATTGGGGTACTCCGAACATTGCTTTCTCATCGTTCTGCTTTCTTCTTTCGGACTGGATGAAGCTTACCCTTCATAGCTTCCAATTCACCCTCTATTGCATCTGCTAACCTCCGCTGCGTGACTTATAGATTCAAGATGAAACCGGCGCCGGTACGACTTCCTTTATATTTTGAACTTTAGGCAAAGAAGGTCTCACTCACTTTTTCTCTCCCTCAAGATGTGACAACCCGAGGAAACTATTACCCTGACAAGAACATGGCGACTGCAGCAGTAAGGAATGTCTTCCTAAGATTCGCGAGATCAAGTGCTGATTACTCCGTTCTAGAGCCCTCCCCTTTACCTACATGTGACCAGCACCAACAAGGAAGGTCTGGAGAAAGCAGTCACTATGATTAATGACCTGATGCAAAAGGAACTTCCGAACCTGGTTGACGAGCGACGTTTCCGCCGCCGGGAGCCCGAGCAGCAGGTTGAGCGGGATGAGTATGGCCGTGTATGGGACTGTTCCTTTCGACTTCGTTAATATAATGATTTGGCTAATTTGACGCAGCGCAAATGGCCGGATGAGCGCATTCTCATCGATCTTGAGCCAATTCCCGGTTTCAACTTGCGCGCTCAGGTCGTTGGACAGGGCGGTGCTTATGTGAAGCACATCCAACAGCAGACTCGTTGCCGTGTCCAGATCAAGGGTCGTGGCTCTGGCTTCATCGAATCCAGCACTGGCCGTGAAAGCGACGAACCGATGTTCCTCCATGTGGCGTGAGTTGTCATTATTCTCTTACTGACTTTATTTCCCGCTTGTTTCTGCCTCGCTCACTTATATTATGAGCTCCTACTAACAGTCTTTCAAGTGGTCCTGATGCCAACGATGTCCAGCAGGCAAAGGAGCTGTGCGAGGATCTCCTAACCAATGTAAAGGAACAGTACCAACGTTTCAAGGAGAACCCACCCCAGCACAACTACGGTGGATACCGCGGTGGTGATCGTGGTGATCGTGGTGATCGCTACCAAGGTGGTGGTGGTGGTGGCTACGGCGGTGGCTACAACAATCGCCAGCAGCATAATAATCCCTCTGCTAGCCCTGCAGGCCAGGCTGCTGCTGCTGCTTCCCCGAGCGCTGCTGCCACCCCCACTGCCGCTGACTACAGTGCTCAGTACGCCCAGTACTACGGCACCACTGACCCATATGCTCCCTACGGTGGATACCAGAACTACGTCGCTTACTGCCAGTACTATCAGCAGATGGCCGCCGCCCAACAGCAGCAGCAGGCAGATGGCAGTGCTCCGCCTACTGCTCCGGCCAGCGAGACCCCTGCCCCACCTCCTGGCTCGGGATCCCCGCCGCCTCCGCCTGGTGCAGGTGGCAGCTACAGCGCGGTACGTTGCTCGAATGTCAACTATGCTAGTTCTGAATGCTGATACATGAATTACAGGTTCCCCCGCCCCCCGGTCTTTAAGCTAGAACCTGTTCTAGTGGGTTAGTATTGTGCCCGTTGTGCCTTCCGCTGTCCATGCGCAATCTATCTCGCATATGGCACACAAAAGCCTGTCCTGGTCGTTTGCAAAAACGAGGGTGATCTAGCGATCTATTTTCACCGATCTCTTTCTCATCTCTTTGTCTTTGCTAAAGAAAGTCTAGCAGTTGCCTTGTGTCTAACCCTTTGATTTACCTATTTCCATACTCGGTAAACTCGGTAAACTCCATAATTGTGTTCATAATAAAAGGCTTGCTTATTGACAGTGGATTTATTGCTGTGGCTAAACTCTTTAGAAGCGAACACTAATTGCCGAGCAGCTCGGATGCTGGATTCCATCCATGTCTTTGTCTCTGTGCTATATGGGAAGTATAAAAGAACTCCCTCCCTGCACCCTTCATGCTGTTGGCGCCTCAGAAATGCAAGCAGAACCAGACGACAAGAAAAAAAAAAAGATAAAACCCTAAACCACGCAGCACAATCAAATAGACGATGATTTCCTCAGTCGAAATCCGCGTATAGGAGAGCCATCTGAGTCTCAGATGCCATTTTTTCCCGGCGCTTTGCCAACCCGGCACGACCCTCTTTGCAAAAATCGCAGGCGAAGTCGCAAGGGGATGAGCTCGTAACAGGCACACCCTCCCTGGCCGGCAGTTGTGATCCCATTTCTTCTAATTCAAAGTCACCAAAGAACTCTTTGATCAGTTCATGTCTACACCTCCTAATACTCTCACAGTACCGAATGACCTTGCCGAAGCTTTCAAGCTTGGCATCTCGATTTTCAGGGGCCTGCGCACGGTGAGATTCACTATCACGGTAGATCATGTTCTCTATGAAGTTCCTCTCTTGAATTCCGTAGTAGACGAGTGAGGCGGCGGCTCGGCCGTCTCGACCTGCACGTCCTGACTCTTGAACAAAGCTTTCAAAGCTTCGCGGTGGTGTCCAATGCACGACAAAGCGGACATCTGGATTATCGATTCCCATACCGAAAGCATTGGTTGCCACAATAATAGAGAAGACCGGCGTCCTTCCCCCTCCAGCTGGCTGGAACGGCTGAGAAGACTTCCACGTTGATTGAATGTGCGCGCGCTTTCTGGCTTCCACGCCGGCGTGGTATGCCACTGCCGTGACCATATAGTCCGAGGAATAGGATAACCGGTTGGCAAGATGTTCAGCCATAGCTCGGGTCCCTACATATACGATTCCTGACATTGGGGGGAGCCGTGTTGCTTCGCTGCCAAGTCGGGCCTCTCGTCGGGTTTGGATGCCCTTAAGCCATCCGAGCAGGTTTTGTATCTGGCTGTCTTCTGCGCTATCGTTGTCACCAGCGAAGTCAGCGAGATATCGTACCTCGTAGTGAATGTTTGGACGGTCCGACGGAGTATTGAACAGCCGGAGGGTTTCAAGATCCAATCCTAGAATGTTGATCATGTCCGAGCGAACTCGGGGAGTTGCTGTCGCTGTCAATGCAGTTATTGGGACAGTCGGATTGACAAGATTCCTTCTGAACCAGCCCAGCTCTTTGTAAGCTGGCCGGAAGTCATGGCCCCATTCACTTATGCAATGGGCCTCATCAATGGCAACGCGGATGAGCTGACCTTGCTTGTGAACTATAAGAAGGCGGCGGCGGAAGTTGTCTGTCTGGCACAACTCCGGCGTGACATAAAGCAGGCGTGTACTCGGGTGGCCGCAAAGCATGTCCTCATAAACTCGTTGTCTCTCCTCATGAGTAGTATTGGAATTGATCGTAGCGACTGGTACATCAAGAGCTTTTAATGTATTCACTTGATCTGTCTGTGGGAATTAGCTGTTTGATTGCAAACGTTCCAAAACCACACTCACCATTAGTGAAAGAAGTGGACAAACGACGACAGTCACTAGAGATATCGAGGTCAGGCTAATTCGTTATTGAAAATAAGATATGCTGAAAACCCACAACCCCAATCTTTGAGCACTGCAGGCAGCTGATAACACATGCTTTTTCCAAACGAAGTGCATGCTTGAAGGAAGACATCATGTCCTTCGATGACGGAGGAGACCACCTCTCGTTGAAGTGGACTATGCGGTAGAATAAGTAAATTGACCCCTCTGCCCTAGTTCATCAACTTACCGGAAATCATTCTTTTTGAAGGTATGTTTCAAGACCCATCGCATATTAGAAATTTGGCGCGTAAGCCCCGGATTACGATCCATTGTGCTTCATAGCAGAGATAGATTAGTTAAAAGGGGTAGTAAGTGCAGTAGAAGAAGAAGAAGATTGAGTCTTTAGCCGCGTCCTAGAACGCGGTGTCACGTGGTGACTTTTTGATTCCCTTTTGGGATAGATTGGACTTCAATTGGATTCGATTTGGCCCCGAGGCTTTTTGCCCCAAGACTTGATGACAGTGTAGGAAACTAGGTAGGTAAATTCTACAAGATGGACATGGTCTTCATGTCAAACAATAAATTTGCGAAAAGACACGCTAGAAATCGGGACGGTATATGGCAGATCTATATGGAAAATAATGTACAAGTGCTGAATATCCACATTTCAGCTGCCTCTCTTTCTTGTTCAGCGATCCCGATGTGGATCCCTGGACATCTGTTTATCAAGCTCTTCCTTGACGGCAAAAACATCAATCGATTTGCGCTGCTGTGGATGCCAAAGCCGCTCAAGTTGCAACCACACCTCAAGAACCTCTTTGGGGCCACAACATGTTCCGAATGCTTGCAGGATAGTGATGATCATCCGACGTCCAATAAAAAGACCATTCTCGAGACGCTGCTCGGGGTCCCAGAATTCCTCTTGCTCTGCCTCGCCGGAGAACTGCAAGCGAGGGTTGAAGACCTCATCTACATCAAGTTCCTCTATTTCTGTGGATTCATCGTCCTTTTCATCCAGCTCAGGCTTAGAGTCTTGTCCATTGTCTTGAGAGTCATCCATAGTAGAGTTTTCGGCAGTTTCCTCGGATCCCTGTGAATTCCCAACTGCATTCGCTGTTGGCAACGCCATGTACAACCCGTTGGGAGCATCAGTCACTGGTAGCTCCTCGACATCGACTGTCACGCTCTTAGCCAGTGGGTTCTCCCACGTCATCTTTCGGTTGTTCAAATTCAGTCCACGGAGTCTTGCATTCGAGTCGCGCAGAGCCCGGATATATGCATGCCATGTCAGCCGAAGGTTTTCCGCACTCCACTGCTTCTTCCTCCGACCATGAATAGCGAAACCTTCAAAGAGGAACAAATAGATTATAGCACGTGGTGGGACAGCAAAGGTCCTTTCCATGTCATGCATGACAGCCATGAAGCTATCAAGCTGGCCAGTGTTGTAGGCGTAGTGTCGTAGGAAGATATAAAAAGTTCGCGTGTCGGGGGCAATGGAGAGAGAATCTTGGAGAGCACGGTGGTATTCCGGAAATTTCTCTTTGAGTGCTGACGACTTCTTCAATATGCGGCCCAAATTTCGGGCTCGTTCCCGATATTGGGGCATGTCATAGCTCAGATTAGACCCGCCAATGTGAAAGTGGATTCCATCGTCCGGTTGAGAATGCGAAACGCGCTTATTATTGCTTGATTGTTTCTCCAGCATGCGCGCGTAAAGCTGCTCCGCAGTTTGGGTCTCGCCAGCTCGAAGAAAAGAGGCAATGAGACAGTTCATAACAACTGTATCGACGATCTCACCCGATTTCACAAAGTCGTCAAAAGTCTCTCGAATACCTTCAACATCCCGAATCATCCCAAAATAATAAATTTTGGATGTCTTTCCACACCGTGAAAAGCTCAGGCCCCGTTCAGTCATTTCCTCCTCTAGGCGATCAGCAACTTTGAATGCACCGGCTTTGATCGCAATGTCGAACAGGATGTTGAAGACCACTTCGTCAGCCTTTACTCCAGCGACATGTTCCATCTTCTGCCACATGCCCACGGCTCGAATGAGATCTCGTTTCAGGACTCTGCCGTTGGCTCGCCCAGAAAGATGTATCGCAGAAGACCAGAGTGAGCGGGATAGAGGAAGTCGGGCTGTTACCATGTCGTCCACCAATGCCAAGTAGCGACGAGCATCTACCCACCGTCGATCTCGCGGATGTGCGAACAAACGCAAAAGAGCACCGCGGGTGCGTTTCGAGAGTAAAGCTACGCCCGGCGCAGGAAGATCTCTGTATAACCGAAACAGGTATTGGGTGGATGGGTTTGGCTCTTCCCATAACGTTCTGACAAGCTTCTCAACCGAGTGGATTTCCATTTGATCGCGCGACTCATCTCTGTGCGTCTTTTTGTAACGTGAATATGGCGCTACAGCATTCACTGCTTCCTCCCAGTCATGATCTGCCAAGGACCTTTCGTACAGTTCCGAGGTAGAGAGGTGTTTCTCCTTCTCGGGATGCAGCCATGACGGGAAAGATTGGCGGGGGTATTTTTCCGGCAATTTGGGGTCGATGTCGGTTTTTGTTTGTTCTGTTATCTCTATTCTGCGGTCGAAATCATATGTAAAATCAAATCTTTCACAACGAGTTTGCGATTCCGCGTCCGCATTCTTTGCTGGCCACAATGGTATATAGTCGTTGTCTGTCTCTGCCTCCTCGTTCTCAATATTATACTCCTCTGTATTATCGTCATTCGTACGTGCCAATCCGTTGCTGATCATTCTTTTGGGTTGCGACAGATGAAACCTTGAGCTTGAATACTCTGGTTGTCGTCGGGGTGGTAGCTGTCTGCGACCAGTGGCGCCTTTGCTCTGAAATTTTTGAAAATTATGATCTGAGGCCCTCCAGGCTACTGTGGACAACCCCCGACGATTCGGCGAGTGTTCGTGGCAGAAGCTTGCCAGAATCAGCGAGCCGACAAAAATATCTGCTATTGACGCGACGGACGGGCGAGGACGACGGGGACAGAGTCTCCGCACCGAGGAGGCATGAGAATGAATGTTCGAGGGAGGCATTGAGGTTTGTCGAAAGAGAGGAAGCTCATCCAAGGCCTGCTTGGGGTGAATTCGCAGGCTTGGCGAGCTGGGGGACCTATGTGGATGAGGCATGAGATGACAGACATCGTGGCATTAGGTACGCCGCATCCAAGAGAGAGCCCTTTGCCACTCGACAAGAGAGAGCCGTCTACTTTCTGGGCGCAAAAGCAGACAAAGGGGGAGAGGGTCAAGATTCGGAAGACGTAGGTGTGTTTTTCTGAAGATGAACGGCCTGCACTTTCTGGCTGGCGGAGAACATCCCTCGACCAATCGGAGACGCGCTTTGCCAATCCCATCTTTTCGCACCCGCATCAACCACCTCGTCCCCTGCAGCGCATATCTTGTCTCTTGATTTGCTGTCTCCAGTCGCTATCAATTCTTCTTCTATTTCAAGCTCTTCCAGCTACCGACGGTGCCCGACTGCCATGGGCAAAATAAACCTCACAGCCCTCCGGGTGCGGCAGACAGCACTCAACCAATTCGCCAGTGGAAAGACCAGCAAACTGCCACAATGGGTCAATGTGATCGGCGAGATCCCTCCTGCTGAAACCCTCATTCGTACACGTCCTCCTCAGCATGAGCTTGTTCAGCAGCGGTTGAAAACGGTCCCTGGGTCGTCGAAGCCGCAGGTCGTCTTCCAAGTCCAAGAGAAGCGCAGAAAGCCCAAAAAGCCTAGTCGACTTTTCCAGCCAGTCGAGCTCAAATATGAGGAAGACCATTTGCGAACTGAATTCTTCCGCGATCATCCCTGGGAACTTGCCCGGCCCCGTGTGCTTCTTGAGAGCACTGGCAAGGACTTTGAACACTATGATTGGAGCCGCATCCAACAGCCAGGAAAGCGGTTAGATGGTGAAAGGTGTGTTCCCAATATTTTAGCTTATAATGCTTGATTTTTCTTACGTGAAACTTCCCCCCAATGCTAATGTATTACTTCTCTGGTATTAGTGTTGTTCAGCGACAGCTGTGGCTTTTGAATAACGTCCCGGATATGAACAAGAGCACTGCTTACGATATTGCTCGTCGAGAATTCTACAAACTTCGGTTGCAGGAGGATATTCAACGACGGGTGGCTGCGGAAGAGGCCGCAGCATATGGCGCAGAGTTCGGACCGTCATACATGGAAATTGGTATGAAGATGGAGAGTGAGCAGTACGACAAATGGGTTGCCTGGGCTCGGGAAACATCTCTGGTCCAGGACCAGCGGAAATCAGCTCTTAGCGGTGCGCCTGATCTGGGAGAGACTGTTGAGTCAAGTGAGACCGAGGTCGAAGAAGGAGAGACGGTCACTCTGTAAGAGTCTGAGATGTTGGTGTGGGCTCGAACGCCATTATGCTATGCCTCCTTTTCCAGGGGCTTTTGGATCCCTAGTCTTTCCTATTGATGGCCTATGTATATTATTTGATCTATTCTCTGGATGTTGTACTTCCCTAGCTCTATTTACACGATAGCACATGCATTCTTGGTCAATTCACTTCTCGTTCTAGTAACATGCATCGTAGATCCTAAACTCTCCCTAAATATGATCCTTGATATTTCAATTTCAATATAGTGACGCAGGCGGAGTCTGGATGCAGAGTTGCGGAGGTCCGGTGTTTGCCCAATCAGAAGATTTCCTGCCTCGCCCAACTTGAATATCCCCAATTTCCTTCATTCCAGGACCAAGACTCGATTTTATTTTAACTATCCGTGTCAGCCTTCTCGAGACGTTTGTTGCTTCGATAACAACATTCTTGGACCTGCCAGATCTCCATCGTGGCCAATCTCTTTATCGCGCCCGCGATTGTCAAAGGGCTTCATTGCACCGTTTACGCCGGTCTTGAACAACTCTGCCCTGCGTTCGAACACTTGGTACCCAGCCCATTGGGCACTTGACCATTCGGATCTCTCTTCCTCCGCTCCGAATCCACCCTAACGGCCGCCTCGAGCTACGTTCCCCGTCCAACGTCGAGATAGCCCGCCCCTCCGGCTTAATCACAACCAACGATGCTTTGCGCAGGTGCCCGAAGTGTGTCTGTATAGGAATGGTCGCTGGACCTGGATATTCTTCTAGTTCTTGGCAGGTTATCAATTCATCAACGAAATTGCTGGCTTGAGGTGTGCCTTTTGACAACATTCGGGCTTTTATCGGCCATGACACCCACCATGACTCGTCCCGAGGACGCAATACGTGGGCAGCGCTTGAACCGCGGCGAGACAGACGAAGATGAAATGGAAAATGGAACACCGGAGTCTGGCTTTCTGGCGTCATCACGCGATGACTCTCCGTATCCTGACGAGGGAACTGCTTTAGGAGATGCCTCGGAGAGTACTAGCAAACAACCGACTGGGTCAAAAACACTTAGCCCGGAGGAAACCATTGATCTAGCACGACGTGCTGTTGAAAGTGGTATTCAAGATACTAAGCGTTCCCTGGCAGGCAGCGAGGCCGTCACAGATGTGGTCAAGCCTAAGCTGACCATTGACCTTGGTCATTCACACATCGCTAGGATTCCTGAACCAGTTGTTGACTTGATCAAAGATGAGGTCGAACGGTATGTTGGAGCCTTGCTTTGAACTTTTATAGTCAAGTCTTGTTTTGCCTGTTCCTAGGATACGGTATCACTGTTCTGGACTATATACTGATTACTATGAAGGCTATCTCTGTCGAACAATCAACTTTTCCATATCCCCTATCGCTTTGCAGAGTGCTCACACCTACGCTATCTCAATATCAGAGCGAACAACTTCCGCGAATTCCCAAAAGGAGTATGTAATGATAAGTTTGCTTTATGCTTGCATGGCGCTAATCCTGCTTGGTAGGTTTACAAACTACCATTACTCGAAATTCTTGATTTGAGCCGAAATAAAATCAAGGAGTTACCAAATGAGATCAGCAAATTGAAGTCATTGCGAGTTCTGTCAGTCATGCAAAACCGCCTCATCGACCTCCCAGCTGGCCTCTCCGAGATGCATAAGCTTCAAATTTTCAAGTGCGTCGGGAATCCTCTACGAAAGCCACTACGTGAAATTCTAGAAGAAACCGAAAATGAGACGACACAATCCGGGATGACCGACAACGAGAAAGAAGTTGCGGCCACGACCAAACTCAAGAGATTTCTTATGAAAACGCGACAACAGACGAGTACACCCGAGCCAGAAATCATTCCTGATACAGGGTTTGTCCATCTTACGGTCCTGGGGTGGATATAAGCTAACACTCGGTGTTAACGCAGTGATGGTACTTTTGAGGCTAAACCGGCACCAACGCCGATACCTTCAAAGCGGAATTTAAGTGGTCGGTTTCCAGTAATTCCCAGCACTGGTGATAGCTCAGCAAGCTCGTCTCGCTCTCCATCAATATCTCGGGCACCGCCGATTCCATTAAAATCACACTATCGCATGGCCTCTGGACAACAAGGCGCTACTTATCATATGCCTGGTCTCCAAAGACCTGGCGTAGCGCCTTATCCTGGTAACGAGCGCAACCGGAGCAACAGCGAGGGCATAATCCAAGGGTCATCTGTTGCTCGTAGCAAAAGAATGGGACTAATCAGTCGCAAGAATACCGATTTAGGTACATTAGATGAAACGCTCCCATATCGAAACAGCCATCTACGAGGTCTCAGTCATGGATCTGTGCTTCGACCGCGTCAGCCTACACCGCCAATAGCCACAAATGACAATACTCCCCCAAGTCCCACCAGCCCGAGAGAGCGTCGGCGTCCGCGAGATGGTTGGGTTAATCGGATGTCCAGTCTACCTGAACACAAGGGTGAACATGGATCCGATGAACCGATAATCAAGAGTGCAAAAGTTATTCTATTTGCCCTTGCTCAAGTTCATTCCCACATCGATACATTGATCAACGTGATCAAGCATGATGACACCAGACGGCACAGTCTCGAGCTTGTCTTTTACAATGCTTCCTCACACGTTGACCATCTGAACGATGCTCTTGAGAAAGCGACAGATACTTTGTGCAATGACCCAGAGTCAATGTCATCGGTCACCGAAACGGTTAAACGTGAATGCGAGACGTGCATCGCCGCCTACATTCACGTCGGCACGCAGCTACGCAACAATGTCACCAAGATAGTTTCCAATGGCGATCCGTGCTATGTACGATCGCTGATGCTGACGATGTTTGGCAGCCTGGCGGAGCTACGGAATGCTTGCGCTATTCTCAAAGTTCCGCTCCAGACCATCAACAGACATGGCTCTGCTACAAGACGCTTGGTTGGCCCAAGTAACCCACTCCCCTCTGTCCCAGACCGATCTCAACTTTCGCTGGTCACTCCAACAAGAGATCCTGGCCCGCCCACACGACGATTGCGAAGCGACACGACAATTCGACACCCCCAGTACCCCATGACTATGACTTCTAATCAGACTAGCATTAGCTCTCCTGGTTTCTCAACGTCGTACGCACGCAGTCGCTCGAGCAGCAGATCAAACATGATCAACACATCTGTGCCACATTCCCTGGCCATCCCTCGCTCAGGCGAAACTTTCCCTCCTATGCCTGCTTCCGGAGCTCCCCGGTTCAACACACTGACTGGACTGGATGAAAACGAAGAGGAGCGAATATTCGAAAAGATCTTCCATCAGCTGACCGCTACATATCATGCCGCATACGGTGCACTTCCATTGGCCCGTCGGCAATTCATAAGGTGTCTAGAAGCTGCTCAACACTCACGCGATTCAGAGGGAATCCAAATCCTCTGGAACAACCTCATCCGTCGATGCCAGTTTTGCCTGGAAGTTTCAGATGCCCTAGGACAGCGTCTATCGACCATGAAAATCAAAGAACCTGGTGGCGGACTCCGCAACCAACGCGAGTTCTGGCAGCTATGCAAATCATTCATGCAGTCCTTCGTCGACCTGGTGAACGAGATGCGTGAGTTGAGAGGTATGCAGCTTTTACCTGCCGAGGTCGTCATCCTCCTACGCCCAGTCCAAAAGGCAAGCCGGGAAGCAGGCCGCCTGATCGAGGTATCTCCTTGGGCCTATCTTACAGACCCGGACCGCCACCCCCCTCCTAGTGCCTTGTACGGCCCTCTGCTACAGGCCTCACACCTGCAGCACCATCAAACATCCGTCTCAACATCCGCCCTCACCAACAACCCCTCTTTCCAACTCAATACGATGTCGCCCCCTCAATCGGTCACCGTACCTGCCACTCCGCTGAGTGCAGCGCTCGGCCCCGCTGCGCAGGCCACTGTCCCGTCCACGCCGGCCAGTGCATACAGTGACAGATTCTTCGACGGCGATGTCTTCCAACGTGCTGATTCGCTTCTCTCGTCGAATCAAGCCCCGTTCTTCCGTCGCTAAGCGACTATGAGAAATTTTAACACTCCGTCTCAGAGAACTCAATTTCTCTATGTGTCATGACTACCTCCATGCTCATTTATCTGGCGTCTTATGATTATGACTATGAGCAATCTACCGTGCATGCCGGCAACGTTACTCTTGTGGTTCCTTGTCACACTATAACTGCTCTGGCAGTCCAATTCTCGATCTGCATTCTGTTTATCCATGATTTAGCGGGTTGATATTTTTTGAAAGAATCGAGGTACAAGCAATCTATCGTGCATGTCATTGACTCTGTTTTGATCATTGACCACACCTAGAGCGCTTTTTGCTTCTGTTTCTTATGCATCAGCGGGGTTAATATCCTGGGGAAGAACCTGGTATTTGGTACAATAAATCCGAAATTAAAAGACGTTTATCCCGTCATTTAGAAAAGTCCTATGTTCGGTCTATGCTTTTCCTACTGTAGTACAGGTAGTACAGGTGGTAGAGGTAGACGATTGAAGATAGGAAATATTATAATACGAAATATGTATCTAGGGCAGCATAGCCAGACCATGCATGATCTGTGGATCGTTCTTCACATAGCGGTTACCAGGTTCGAGAAGAAAATTAAAGGCCCCTCTAGAGAGCCTTGAACTTCCCCAGGACTAAGTGAGAAACCAAAAAATCAGTTTCGAGTACAATCATACTAGATGGAGTCAATGCTTCGCGGGTATACATACTTGCATTATGGTCCAAATCCACCCGTGAATGTGCCAGGACATGGAGACTGATATCCTGGAGGGCGTAGAAGAGGTGATCTTTGTTGGACGTGTAGTAAGATTTGTCATGAATGCTTGCGGCCTCGGGCACCCTACATACAATTCAACAGTTAGTACCATGTACCCTTTGACGATTGTAAAGATCAGGGTAATGTGATCCAGGGTGTCTATACATACCATGTGATAAAGACTAGCTTGCTTCGCTGGCCATCACCGGCGGGAGAGTCGTAAAGGAAGTCTACGACGGCGTATAGGGGAGCGTTATCCTTGAAGTGAGAGAGGAACTCGGCGTAGTCCTTGTATTTGCCGGACTCCGCGACAGTGATCTTTTTGTCGTGTGCAGAGGCTGAGTAGATGACGTAGTTTAAGTTGTCGGTTCCTTTGACCTCGTCGAATACTTCCTCGCATTCGGGGGTGATGGTTGCGAATCCTTTTGTCATGGTGGGAGATGTGAGATGTGTGAGATGTAAAGAAGAGGAGGGAAGTTTAGAAAAGAGAAGAGAAGAGAAAAGGCAAGTGATGGATACCGAGGTGGGCTGATACTTTGTGGTCATACAATAGATCACCTGGTTTACCCCATATTTTGCGGGGAAGTAGATCATGACGTAGGTAGTAGGAACCAGAATCTCTTGTTGACAATTGATTGAAAAGGATAGCAAGTGGACTAAGATATTATTAAAACATGAGTATTCGATACATATTAAGCAATTACCTCCTGTTCCGGCGCCGGTTTGATTTCGTAAACTAACGCCAACAACGCCTATCCCTCGTATTACTTTTCTTGGATGAAACAACATCTTGGGTGATTCCCATTGAACAATTGCCCAAAATTTATAAATCTGAACCCATCTAATCTCCCATCAGAAGACTCTTCTCAAAGGTCGGCTTAATACGCGCTGTCGTCGTCTGTCCAGCCTTGGGTATTGGCTTGGATGTAGTCTTCCCAGTCTTGGTCGTAGTCTTTGCTGTCGTCATTATCCCAGCCTTGGTCGTAGTTTTTGTCGTCGTAATTGTCCCAGCCTTGGTTGTAGTCTTTACTGTCGTGTTCTTCCCAGCCTTGGTTGTGGGGGTTTTGCATGCTTGTTGGCCAGGTTGTCCACGGCGAGGTTGAACATGTTGTCGACGTCGGGGTTGTACATGGCGTCAGCGTCGTGGTTGTCCATACCGTAGTGGTACATATAGTTGTGGTAGGAGTGGTAGTACACAGCGTTGTGCTGGATGGTGTGGTGGTAGACCACGTTTTGGTAGTCTTCGTTTTGGTAGTTTTCGTTGTGGTTGTCCCCGTTGTAGTGGTTCCTGTTGTAGTGGTTCCCGTTGTTGTGGTTGTCGTCGTGGTGGATGACGATGACGTGGTGGTAGATGATGTTGTGGTGGTGGTGGTGGTGGTGCCAGTAGTTGTCGTGGTAGACGCCGTAGTAGTGGTTGTCGTTGTGGTAGTCGGCGTGGTGGTGGTTGTCGTTGTAGTAGTCGGCGTGGTAGTGGTGGTAGTGGTAGTGGTGGTTGTCGTAGTAGTCGACGTCGTCGTCGTCGTCGTTGTGGTTGTCGTAGGCGACACAGTAGTGCTCGTTGTGGGTGGTGTCACGCAAGCCGCATTGGTGATAGTATTGGTGTCCATTGTCACTGCCCCAATGCGGGCCAAAGCCCGTCCGTTGATCGTTGCGCCAGTATTCAACGTGATAGACTGATCTGCCATGATGGTTCCGACGAAAGCTGTCCTTGTTCCCAAGGTTGCCGAGGTTCCCACCTGCCAGAAGACATTGCAAGGGTTGGCACCATTGGCCAGAACAACATTGGAGTCCGTGGCAGTGATAAGGGTGGATGTCATTTGGAAGATCCAAACTGCATCCGGATTCCCCTGAGCGTCAAGCGTGAGGGTGCCGGTAAGCCCGAATGTTGGGCTAGTATATACACCACCAATCAATGTCTGGCCGCCGAGTTCCGTCGCGATTGCAGTGGCCGGTCCCTGGCCAGCCGCATTGTTATATGCAGTCGTCAGATCGGTCTGTGCTTGACTTGCGACTGCATCAGCTTGGTGTACGGATCCAATGATCGTAATTTGACCGGAACCCGTGATAGCAGTCCCAGGCGAGACTCCCAGGTCACCAGTGATCGTTGTTGGGCCCGTATTTGTCACAGTTGAGCCACCGAGGACAGCAAAAGTCTCCGCGGTCCCGAGGTCAGGAGCCGTCTGTCCATTGCTCAGGGCAGCAAAGAGGAGGGCGGATGTGAACAGTTTTCGCAACATGGCTTCTGTTGTTCTGTTGCCACAAATTCGATGTCGTAAGTAAACTGATTCGCCGCGGGATACTACGGGATTTGCTACTCCTTAAATATTTCCAGATTTTTCAGAGCAAGTCCTTGAATCAAATTGATCTTCCACGACTATCAACCATACCCCCAATAGCTTACCCTAGCTGTATAGGGCCTTGTTGTGACCAAGGACAATACCATAGAGTAGAGTATGCGGCTCTGTAAGGGGCGAGTATACCATTTTTTCTAAGAGTATCAAATTGGATGATCGCCGTATAGAGGATATCGCATTCTATTTCTACGCAAACACCCGAACATCGGACCTGTTTGACATGTGATCAATATAAACAATAGTAATGAGCTGCTTCTATATCGGCTATTTGTGTATATTCGAATTAGCTATAGAGAAGAATTACCATCGAGTCGTTAAATTAGAAGATCGCTACGAGATCGAACAAAAGCCACCGGCATTCTACAGCATGATAACACTCAAACTTACAAGAATGAAAGCAACATGTATGTAGTAATACGCAGTAGCCAAGATAACGCCCCTTCAAATAGCATTCTAGCTTGAACTCTCAAGTTTTGATGTATCGGTTTGTTTCGGAGGCTATGTCGCATCCAAGGGAGGCCCTATATTACAGTCCTTTATCAATTTATTCCCAAATTGGCCTACTTAAGTGGTGTGGCTGAAATCAGAAATGTACTACAGAAAACCCCTTGAAGTTACAACACATTAAATTTCCATTATGTTCATAAAACTCAAGACTCGATCCTAGAGCCATGGAGTAATGGAGTAATGTACTCATGCTTAACACGTCATTTCCTCATTCTTGTTCCTATCCTAATGGTATCTTGCTCATGTTATTGTGAATCTGGGCTCAGGTTTCTCTCGCGATATGACAGCTGTCAAGGCTCTGCTTAGTGGGATGGAATTCGGGAAATGCAAGGGCTATGGGGATTGCTATATAGGGTTGGAATGCAACTGAAAAGCTTGGCGGACGAGAAGTCCGTTGGGGCTAGAGGCATCAGATAGTTAGGTAGTACTGACCTTGTATGTTGTAGTTGATCCCAATGCTCATCCTAGTGTAGTTGGAATTGGTTACTAAATACGACAGCTGAATTTATGGTCCCTTTTTTTTTTTTTTTGGCACTGACTGGCGACGATCACTCGCGATTTTCTTATGCATTTCTGTCGACATCCATTACTGTTCTCGTTACAAGTCCAAGTGCCCTAGAATTTTGAAAATAAAAAGTTTTCTAAAAAATGCATATCACAACCCAATTTTGATAACTCCAGAACCCAAGATGCGCCAGTCCCTATAATCAGCCAGCCCTCGGAGCAACAACCACATCCCTCACAAAGGAGAACATCTCGCGCGGCTTATTCACAAAGACACTATGGCCAGCCCCACGGAATAAGTGATACGAAACACCACGCTCCATAGTCCACGTACCCGCAGCAGCAGCAGTCGGGGTCGCAGTCGATAATGTAGTAGCAACCGGTGTGTGGTGGAGCAGGAGCTGCTTGGTCGCCGACGGCGCGGCATTATCCGCAAAGAAAGGTTTGACCGGCTTCTGCGCGAAGCCCTGAGCACCACCCCACGTCATATTTTGTAGCGAGAGTTCCGCGCCAAAGTGGTTGATCATCATGTCCCACTCGCCAGAGTAGATATGGAGCGAGATATTGTGGTCAGTAACCAGAGACGGGAGGATGAAGTACTCCGGCGGCACGGGGGAGGGCACTGATAGTAGCGTGCCCAGAATTGTGGAGTTGCAGGCGTTGTAGAGTCCGCTATTATCGACGTGAAGGGCAGCCTGGACATCTGCGCGGCCGAAGTACTCTGCCATTAGTGGGAGCTCTGAAATGGCACTGCAGTCGTGGGAAACGTCGTAGATGTCGAAGCAGCCCCGAATTTTGCGGTTGGTGAATACGGCTGTCAGGTAATCACTTGCTGTAGAGAAGACGGCGCAGGGGCCGTAGCAAGTTGAGTTGAAGATTGATGTGTGGACTGCTTCGGGGGTTTTGGGTGAGATGTCGCATGTCGCGTTGACGGCATTTGTCAAGTCTCGACGTCGGAGGTTGAAGTATTCTGGGTTTCCGGGGATATGTATTTTACCCAGGGGAGGGTATACGGCGGATTTTGCTAGCACGTCGTTGAAGCCGCAGGTTTTATCGGCTTCGTCGAAGACAGATAGAACATCTTCAGGGATTTGGAGGAAGCCCAACTGTGACCTGATATATTTACCCATTGCAACGTCCGCCATGGCTGCTCCATTTCCCCAGGATCCATCACCCAGAGACATAGAACGCACATTGAGAGGCAGGGAATTGTTGCCGTCGAGAAGCTCCGATGCGAAATAGGGTATGTAGATGCCCGCATATGACTCCCCCATCAGATGGATCTGCTTTGACTGCAGTTGCGGGAAATATTCGAAGAAGCCACGCAACCACTGCGTGAAGTCTGTCGTTACCCGAACATTGTCCTTAACCGGGTATGGGAAGCTGGCCGTGGAGTAGCCAGTGCCGACGGGCTGATCAACGTAAAGCACATTGCCTAGCTTTGTCCATGAGTGTGGATTGCGAATAAATCGAGTCGAATTGCCATCGAAGGAAATGGGTCCATTGCCGGTCGTCAGACCTATCAAGGATGAGCAGCCAGGGCCGCCATTGAACCAAACTATCCAGCCTGTTAACCATCGCCTTTGAATGTCCCTCCAATCAGACTTACTGATCAGATTGTCATCGTATGCCGGCTGCTCTGATTGAAATAGCCAGAAAAAGATCTCATTTCCATCCTCTGTCCCCGGAACCGGAAGGCGACCAGCCCAGCTGGATGGTAGGTCCGAAACGCCTGGTAAGGCATGTACTTCAAATCGTGAAGTATTGTATGAACCGATTCCTCGCGAGCGGACAAGCCCAGGAGCTGCCCATAGGATCTGAAAGAAGTAGAGTAGTGCGGAAATATTCATGATTGAAACTGGCCGTGCTTCGCACGCCTTGTGAAGATAATCGAGATGATACTGCCTAGTAAAGATCTAGGATGCTCATGCAGACAAGATTCCACGTGGAAATCATGTTTCCTTTTTATTTTATTTCTTGTCAGACATGGTTCTTATTGAGCTATTGAGCAGGCCGTTGTTGAGCCAGATTTGGGTGTCAATAAGCTAGCGAGGTTATTGAGGCCAAAGACATGACCAGTGGACTTGGGTGCTTGACGGAGCTCATATCCGTCTACAAACATTGGATGCCTCATGAATCACAGTAATTTTATTTAGATCTGAGCTAAACGAGAAGCTCAATTGGTGGAAGTTAAGTGGTGAGGTAGAAGTAGAATAAGGCTGTCTCAAGGGATATAGGGCCTTGTTTATCAGGCATAAAGTCTATAAGGCACCAAGGCATTCACATCCAAAAACATTCCGATCCAGACCAGAGGCCCTGCTTCATCTCTTCTCGATGATCTGTGAACCCTTCTCTGAGTACTTCTCTGGCAAGCTGGAGGGTACTATGCACCTGGTAATGCGCAACTCGACTGCATCCAGTGGTTCCCCGAGAAAAGGAGATTCACCCTCACGTGGCCAGCACTGGTTTCAAAGTTCAAAGTGAGGCGAGTACCCCCCTTTTTTTCCCAAAAGCAACATCAAATGCAGATGCAAGTTCAAATCGGAAATGGAAAGATGTGACAGTTGAGATCTCCCAGGTAGTCGAGAGTCTGCTCGCGGGTAGCAGCAGAAGGGAATGTCTGCTTGCGTCAACCCGAATCCGGTTGTCGATCTGGGATACACTCGCTATATCAGTTCATCCCGGTCGCTTTGCCAACTCCTTTGCTTTATTTACTTTTTTCCTTTGATTTGTCCATTTGTCCTGCATCCTTGTGCTCTCTCGAGACAATTTGCATTTGTCTGCCCTAGAGTATACACTGGAGTCCCCACCCTGGTTTGCTGCTATCGGAGCCCCGTTTCATACTCTACACCTCTTTGTTTTGGAAGATTATATTCTCTCTTATTCGGATTCTTATACTCCGTACCCTTTTGTTGTTTTAAAAACGTTTGAATCTCCACCCCTTTTTGACCTTCTCCCCCTGATCGGAACCACGAGGCGATCGACGCAGATCCAAGCAATCCTCGGCTCCACAGGAATTGACAGCTCACTTGCATCACTTTTTCGGTGAATGCGGATTGGCTGCCTGCCTGAGGCAAAAAGGGGCCCATTAAATTTGTGAGTTGTAGGAGTTCCATAGGGGCGTACTCGCCTTGTTCTGTGGTTAGGTGCATGGCGTGGTCTCGCCATTGCCACCCTGAAATCTTCCTTTTATCTGACTGTCTGAGTAGGGAGGTTCAGATATATCGTGCTTAACTATGGATCTACAAGGCACAAAAGAAGCCCGGACCCAGGAGGAGGGCGCAGAAGGCCCTCTAGAGGCGTATGGTGCGGGAAATGGTCGTTCTAAAGAGTATCACAAGAACGAGGGGCGAGATTCTCACAATCATGACGACCGACCCTCCATCCATCCTCTTCGTCGCCGTCAACAGCCCTTCGCTTATCCTCATGCGGCTCAACAATCTACTTCACCGGTACCAGCCGCTGTTTCTCGGCCCCGAGAGCCATCCCCGTCCCCGGAGGCTATCAGTATACCCCAAGATTTGGGACTAGATCCCCGTGAACATCGCCTATTGCGTAAGGCTCGGAGATATCCGCCAGTCACGAAGAAAACGCTTAGCGAGCTTGATCTGCCCTGTATCATGAGCAACATCAATCTCCGCATGGACGCCAACTTCGACCGCGACCTGCACTTCAAGCCTGACCTGGACGGGGAGAAGGGCCAACGCAAGCGGAAAGAAGCCGCGGATTATTGGGATGCCTTGGCCGCCGAGATTACTATTTACTCTTACCACGCCGCGACTGCCGGTGCCACCGAGAAAAGCGAATCAAGTGATGGTACTCGACACGCCTTCGATCCGCGTTTGCCCGCCCTGTTCGAGACATTGCAGGACGTCATCAAGACCCTTGTTCCGGAACGCGATCACCCAACTATCATGCAAAACCTGGAAGTTCCATTGCTGATGCAGCAAATACGCAAAGGCGTTCTCGACATGCTTACGCTGGCTCGGTGGCTAGCGAAACTACTAAAAACACATTGTGCTCCGATGCGAGACGAGTGGGCAGATTCTATGGTCGATCAAATCCAAAAGGGTTCAGAGTCGCAGGATCCCCATGAGATTGTCAGCGGTCTGCGAACATTGTTCTCTATTCTAGAGGCTATGAAGTTGGTAAGTCACATTCAAGTCCCTCTGTTCTTGCGGCGTTAACTAATTCGTGACTTGATAGGACGTCGCCAATCATCAAATCCGAGCATTCCGCGTTCTCCTCATCGAAGACACAGTCCCCTTTCTCCAAGAATACTTCCAAGGCAAAATGAATCGCGGCGGCTTCCAGGTCGAATCCGCCCGGCACTGGTACATATCAGTGCGTGACCAAGCCCGTCAAGACGATGCAGATGCGGAGGCCCAAAATACAACCCCAACTCCAGAAACGGAAAGCAATCTCAAACCCCTCGAAGCTCTGTTTCGCGGAATCTCCGCCCAACTGCTCCAATTCGCCCCTCCCGCCGACTTCCCCGAAACCTTCCTCTTCGACTCCGAGCGCCTCTGGCAGCTCCGCTCAACCGTCCAAAATCTAATCAACCTCGACATCGCCTGGTACATCTTCGAGTCCTACATCAACAAGCACAAGCGTTACCTCTCCACCCCAGAAGAAACCTACTCCACCTTCCGGTCGCGCATCTGGTCCCTAATGGAAAACGGTATGGACCTGGAAAACCGCATCGCAAGCAATCCAGACAACAACGAGGACGATCCCGACCACCGCGGCGGAAAGCGCTGGACGCAAAATATGCGCTGTATTGCTCTGGAGATTGCCCGCTTTGCCTGTGCCGCGTTGCAGCTCGACCCCGTCGTCACGGACGAGGTCATCGTTCCCATCGAGGAAGCGCTCGAGTGGCATCTCTCGAATGAGTCCGAGCTCTTCGTTTTCTTCCAAAATAGCATGCGTGGCAAGATCCTTGCTAGCACGATAGCAGCGGCTCGTCGATACTTGCCGCTTTCGCCGTTGGCGATCTGTGAGTCGCAGCGGGCTCCGGTGTCTGCCACTCTGGGTACTACTGTGCCTCAGACTGGGACTGTGGCTGCGTCTGGGTCAGTGAACAATACTTCGTCGCTGGCTTTGACGCCACAGCAGTCGGATGTCGAGCGTATTGGGGTACGTCTTGCTCATTTGGGTGTACTGCACTGGCGTGTTTGGGCTCCGTTGTTGTATCTCCGAGATGAGATTGCAATGACCGAGCTTGAGCAGCCAGCATTCGTATAATTTGGTCTTGCTTGGTTTTGTTCTTTACTTTTGCTTTTGGAGGATTTTTGATGTCGGTTGTTTATTGCCTTGCTGTCTTCGCAAGTGTTTTGTTTGACTTGGCTTTTCAGCGCGCATTTACTGCTTCTTATGGGGGGAGTTTTATTATTCACACCTGGTGTTCTACCAACACAAGGTGATCTCGGTGTTATATTTCGTCTGGGAAATAGAAGGCGCATATAATTTTACTTGTTATTATCAGCTACTACAACATAGTAGAGGTCTATCTAAGAAATGACAGTCTACTCTATCGCAACTAAACTTCAGAAAGAACCTTGGAAATAACAAAAATCAAACTCAATCCGACCCAGTGCCACGGTAGCCGTGAGCGTCGACGGTCCGTGCACCGATCAGCACCCATCCACCTCAAAGAATCCATTTCCCAAAAATGTCCATGCATCCAGCCTAAAACTGCCGTTATAGGAATTTGAGATTCACCTCGTACCAGGAGCCCAGACCCCGCCCCACCAAATGCCACCCCTAGCAAGCAACAAGCACAAACAAGCCCCCAAATGCGTCTCTCTGCAGCGCTGTACTCCCCAACACACCCTTGGCTCGCATGCTTGAAATCAGCACAATTGCAGCGCATCGCACGCGCAACGGGCATCCAATCGTCCGGTACGAAGGGTGTTCTCATTGAGCGCATTGCAGCGGAGTTGACGTTGCATTCACAGTCACAATCGCAGTCGCAGTCACAGGTGCAGCTGCAGCTGCCGGCTGCCGTGGATGGCGTTGCAGAGGGTATCACTAGTATTCCAAGGCCCAGTCCCAGTCCCAGTGCTGCCAACACCAACACCAACCCCAGTCTAAACCAAGATCGACAAGTTGATCGACGGCTAGATCCCCCAAAAACGCCCCCAAGCAAGACAAATCCCAACACCAAGTCAGCCGACTCGTCAAAATCAAATCCCGCTCAATCCCAACCATGGAGCATCCTCAGCATCGACATGGGGATCCAGAACCTCGCATTCGCGCATCTGCGCGTGCCCCGCTCCGGAGGCTCCGGGGTTTCAGGTCTAGCTCCAGATGACGCAGCAACAACCCACCTCCAACCCCCGGAGCTGACAGCCTGGCACCGACTCGCGATTTCTGAGATATCAACTCTGAACCTCGTACCGGGGGCTAAGACCGGTGTGATCCAACCAACACCAACACCAACACCGGGGTCGGGTGACGCTGGCGCTGGCGCTACGGAAAAGAGCCTACCCGGCAAGATCGCCAAATCTATTACGAAAGAAAAAGAAAAAGAAAAGGACGCCTTCGCTCCAGACGTCTACGCTGCATATGCGTACACCCTCATCTCGTCACTTATCGCTGCATACCGCCCCACTCACGTGCTCATTGAGCGCCAGCGCTTCCGCTCGGGCGGCGGGAGTGCGGTGCTTGAGTGGACGCTGCGCGTTGGCGTGCTGGAGGGCATGTTATATGCTGTTCTGCATACGCTGCGGCAGGAGAGGGGCGGGGATATCGCTGATTTGGTTATTCGGGGTGTTGAGCCGAGGCGGGTAGTCAGGTATTGGCTTGAAGGTTCGTCAGTTCTAGGAAAGGGAGACGCGGGGGAGAAATCAGAAGTCGGGGAAAAAGAGAAGGAGAAGAAACCCAATGCGCGAGAAGTGAAGAAGGCTAAGATTGATCTTGTTGGACGGTGGCTTTCTGCTGCGATGCAGACTAATGCTCCCCCAGACTCGGACGGCGGTCTTAAGGAATTAAAGCTGGGTACTGCTACCGATAATAAGATCGTGCTCGCGGATAAATCGGAGTGTCCTGCCCTGCATGCTGTTGCGGGTGCGTATCTGCGGAAATGGCAGGGCCAGACGCAGGCGTCGAAGAAGGGAAAAGGGAAGGGGTCTCGGGCTTTGAAGAGTGGATCTCTTTCTCCATTGCCTGGATCTCTTTCTCCATTGCCTGGATCTCCTTTGTCTGATATGGGGGACGAGGTGGCGGCTGTTGATCTGGGGAAACTCGATGATCTTGCGGATTGTTTGTTGCAGGGTGTGACGTGGGTTGAATGGCAAATTATGCGGGAGAGGATTGCGAGGGAAGGGGTTGAGGCGTTGGATTCGATGCCATAGAAGATGTCAGTATCCATTCTGAGCGGAGCCAAGCTGGGTGGTGACGACGGGTGATGCCGTGAGCTCTTCTAGGATGAAGTTGGTGGTCGAATTTTGTATATTATCCTACTTTACGTACATTAATACTCTAAAATGGACGAATGACACGATCCTACTCCGTAGACTGTATGTCGACGTCAACTATGTGTTGTTTCTGCCAGCGCAAGAAGATCGACACTGATCCACAGGCCAGCCTTACTAACTCTCCAGGATGAACAGCCTCACTCTATTTCTACTGATCTCCAAATTATTAAAGGGAGTAGTGATCATTTCGTAAACAGGCAAAGCCTTGTCAATTCAGGTTCTGTCCTAAGGATGCCGATATCGGCCTTCCACGTGGAAAGAAAAACATGAAGACTAAAAACAGAACTATGAGATCATTCGCAAATGAAATGTGGAAAGATTAAACAAGATGAATTTTCGATTAACACAAGAGAAAAGAGGCAAGATCCAGTCCATAAAACAGACGTGTCACCACCCATCATAACGATACGTGAGAAAATGTTCCGAGTCCAATGGAAACCGGTCATATGAATGGGTCAATTTCACATTGGAGAGTAAAAATGTAACGCAAGGAAATGTCATGAGGTTGGAGATTGGCACCGCAGTCCGAATTGAAGATTCCTGCAAAACGTAACAAGCAGAGAAAACGTGGGCCAATGCAAAATCCAGCATGACAAGACCATTGCAAGAATAGAAGTCGAAAAGAAGAAACATGGCAAAAAATGGAGCGTAAATAAGAAGTGAAATTGAATCCGTTTGTACCGGAACTTGGCAAAAAATAGGTACAGTACCAGCACGCCTCTGCGCGAGTAGAAGGGAATCGGAACTTTCTCTCAGGCCATCGATAGGCTCGCAACTCGCTGCCATGTGGAGGTGGAAACCCCCTTCACATCAGCAGTGTTGTTTAGAAGAAGTAGCGGCGCAGGTTGGACAAGAAAGTCTCGCCAGTGGGGGTGCTGGTGGCCGAGGGATAAGTAGTAGGCTTGACAGTTGCGCTGGCGGTAGGAGTACGGGTAGCGAAGCCGCTGGAAGGAGTAGGAGTGCGGGTGATGGGAACGCGGGTGGATGCAGTGTAAGTGCGGGTGGTGGAAACCGAGGCGGTCTCGGTGGAAGCAGCGGCCTCAGTCGAGGTGCTCTGTGCGCCCTCACCGTTGCCATTGCCGGCGGACTGGGTCTCGACGGCGCCCTAGAATAATGTTAATATTTGACGTGTAAGATAGGGGAATGAGCAGCACATACAGCAGTCACGGTTTCAGTGACAGTAGCGGTAACGGTAACGGCGGAGCAGGCACCGGAGCCACTGCCGGAACCAGAGCCGCTGCTGGAATCAGAGCCACTGCTGGCAGCACTGGTGGAAGCGGGGATCTCGATGAGAGTGACGGTCTTGGTCTTGGTGCTGTTGATAGTGGAGGTCCGAGTGGAGGTGGTGTCCTCAGCGGGGTTAGTGACCGAGGCACCAGCGGAGTTGGTGGCGGAGGCATCAGCAGAGTTAGTGGCAGCGGCATCAGCGCCAGACTCGGTCTATATCAAAGTTAGTTCACAAGTACCAAGCATAAGATATCAGATCTAACACGTACGGCAGTGATGGTGTACTGGTCAGTGGCGGTCTTGTAGATGGTGGTGGTGATGACGCTAGTCGAGGCGCCAGAGGTCACGGTGTAAGTCACAGTGACAGCCTCACCAGGGGCGGAAGTGCCAGCAGGAGCAGACACGGTGCTGGACAGGGCATCGGAAGACTTGGTGGGAAGACCAGGGCGAGAGCTGATGGGAGTGCGGGTGACCACAGGCTTGCTGGAGAACACGGGCACAGAGCTCGCGGAGCTCACCTCAGGGGCCGAAACGACCGAAGAGGAGGCAACGACCGACGGAGCAACAACCGACGGGGCAACGACAGACGGAGCCACGACAGACGGGGCAACGACAGACGGAGCAACGACAGACGAAGCAACAGAAGGAATGGAGCTAGGGGCAGAAGACGCCACGGCAGAGGAAGACTCCACGGCGGAGGTCTCCTCAGCGGGAGCAGACGCGGCAGTCGAAGTAGCCTCAGGAACTGGCTCGACAGGAGTAGGCACAACGAGGACGGTCGAGGTAGAAGCCGTAGAGGCCTCGGGGACAGGGGCAAGCGAGCGAGCCACGATGCGACGGGCATGGAGACCCTCGTGAGTGGCCTGACCCACGGCAGCCAGAGCAGCCACAAGGGCAACGGAGAACTTGTTCATGACAACCATGATGAAGTTATTGGTACGACGGTGGATGTCAATGAAAAAGTGGAGGGGTAAGACGAGAGATGTCAAAAGCAAGAATGCAAAGCAAAGTTAGCGAGTGTGTGTGTAAGTGAGTGTGTGTCTGAAGAAAGAGCGACAGAGCAAGATGCGAAATCAATTCGCAAGGAAGGAACGTATGGCTTCTCACAGAGAAGAAAAGAAGAAGAAGTAGTCAAGAGATGCCAGCTTGAAGAAGGAAAGAGAGCAGAGAAGATGGAGACCAAGGTAATTAACTCATTTCCTCCAATTTCGCTTTAAAATTACACTCTACACTATCAATTTTAAATTAATTCCCTATTGGTCACCTCCAACCGTGGTAATACCGGTGGATCTGCGGTCAATCCATGGATGGCGTGTCCACCGTCCCAGGAACCGGGCTCTCATTGGACCATTGGCATTGATCCCAAGCAGCCCGTGGGCACTTGGACTGTGACCTTTAATCTCACCGTAAGATATACAACACACTACGTGATATTGGCAAACCCTATGAGCCTCTTAGCGACTGGGCTTTCTGGATTAAGGTGATGTGGCGTCGGTGGCGTCACTGACATGCTGTTTGTATCCGCCCCTATTCTTTAGATAGAGTGCTTAAAAGGGGGTATTAGGCCATCGAGTTTGTGTACGAGTTTGTGTACTCCGTACTTTTGTACTCCTGTCGCTAAACGGTTTCTTAGGGCACGGACTCTTCATATATGAACGTGCCCAGGGGCAGAAAAGTCTGACAATACCCGGCCACGTCTATAGGCCTATAATGTACCTCCTACTAGTTGTGTACGGAGTATATTGTATATAACTATGTGTTCCAATGAGGAAACAAAGCCCGAGAATCCAGACGATCTTCATTCAGAGAGAAAAAAAAATTACGACCGCGGCACTTTCGGGAAGTTCAAGTTTCAATGTTCTACTGTCTGTAATAATACGCGATATACACAATACAAGCACGGGAAGGTTTCACATAAAGCAGTCTCCCACCCGTGTCCCCAGGGTCCCCGCTTCCGCCATTGTCGGGATATAAATTGCTGTTGGAGATAAAGATGGCATTCTGGACTCCACGGGGCAGTATAAATGCTACTCTTTCCATATAAAAGTGAAGATGTATGGAGTATACAATGCACTTTAATTCCGTCTCTGTGGGAGGCGGTGGGGCACATCTCTCGAATCCGCCAAGAAGTGTATCGGATGAATTGATTAAAAGAGGTCTAGCCTGGGTTAGGCACGGTCCTTGGAAAAACTTGGGTTATCTTTTCAGAGTGTTTCGCTTCCGTTTCCCGTTTCCCGTTTCCCGTGTATGTTGTAGCCTGTTTGTGGTCGGCACGGAGAAGCTTTCCAACATGAAACATCCCACTTGGAAATTAGTTACAATTTGCCTCGTACCCCTGTACCCTCCAACTCTCCAGACTAGGAATATTAACATTGGACGGAGTACGGAGTAGCAATGGAACTTGCTTAGAACCCCGCTAGAAGATCCTAAATACATGTACGGAGTATCATGGAGCCATCTGCTGGAATATCTTCAATGTCGGTTACATAGAGTAAATCTTCCAAATTTGGAAGGCGGTGACAATATGATCTTATCGCGATGATCACCTGCATTCGGCCCGCATCGCAACCTTCCTAGAGACGATCACCCCCAGTCAAGCAACTGACAAGCATGTCCTCGTTCCAAGCCCTCCGAACCCAGTATGCCTCACGACTGAAGGCATTCACAACCTCAACCAAAGTCTTCGAAGTCCTAACCACCATCCCATCCGGTCCCTCCGCAGACCCAGAGACTCTCTATGTCTTAGACTCGTCGTTCAATCCCCCCACCCGTGCCCACCTCCGCATTGTCAGCACGGCACTTCTAGAAAACTCCCGACCCCGCCGTCGTCTGCTCCTTCTTCTCGCAATCCACAATGCAGACAAGCCATCCAAGCCTGCCTCCTTCGAGGATCGGCTCGCGATGATGGAGCTGTTCGCTCGGGATCTCCGCCCCCAACTCGCATCGGCACCGGCTTTCGAACATGCCGTCGAAAATATTCCGTTGATCGATATCGGCGTCACCAAAAAGCCCTATTTCATCGACAAGGCGGCTGCTATCGAGGCATCGGATTCTTACCCCACTCCAATGGAACAGGTTCATCTGATGGGTTACGATACTTTGATCCGGATCTTCGATCTCAAGTACTATCCGCCTGAACATAACTTGAAGTCTCTAGCGCCTCTATTATCAAAGCACCGACTACGTGTGACTATGCGCCCGAGCGATGGATGGGGTGGGAGAGAGGAGCAGGAAGAATTTTTGGCGGCCCTTGCTAGGGGTGACCGAGATAGCGACGGCGCCCGTAGGGAATGGGCTGACCGGATTCAGCTTGTCGAGGGCCGTCGCCCTACTGATCAACCCGTGAGTTCAACTAGAGCTCGTGAGGCGTCGCAATCGGCGCCCCAGGACCTGGAATGGCTGGTTCCTGAACAGGTGCGGCAGTTCTTGCTGTCGGAGCATCTGTATTCTGGAAATTCTAAAGTGTAGTTACTTAGGCGTGGTAGCCACTGGAGACTCTTACAGTCTATCTCCAAAAGTGTGTTTCGTAGTGATAATGCATATATTTCATAAAACCCATGCCCACCGAGACCGAGTCGTGAACTCACCCACGTGCCAAACGCACAACTGAGCCAACTTTTGATACACGTATTATACAAACAGACCACGACACCAACATGGCATCGCGGTCCTCGCGTCGTTATAAGTTGTCACTCGATCATGACGCATCCTCTTCCTCCTCCTTCCTACCTAGAGTATACGCCAACCCACCACCGATCATATTGACCAAAGCCAAACCCATGGTCGCACCGCGCACGACGCCCCGAACACCCAGCTTCTTCATAAATGGCTGTCGACGGCGGGCTGCGAGAAGCAGATACAGTCCCGAGACGGCCCCGCTGATGCCGGCAGTGTCCGTCTTGAAGCCCTGCAGGTTGGCATAGCTGGAGAAGATCAGCACAGGCGGAAAGAGCATCGGGAAGAACTGGAAAGGGCGCATGTGCTGGGCTGCGATCATGGAGGCGAGTAATGTGGGTGGGAATGAGTTTTCTGCAGTTGAGAGACGACATTAGTGAGTGCTCACTTGCGTCATTGCTTGTTTGGACGCTCCGATGAAGCCAAGCTATTCATATGCATATACCACTTACCACCCCAGGCTCGGAAGCGCTGGATTAATGTCTCCTTGGTCTCTTCGACAGTTGAATCGTCCGCCATGGTGAGGAATTGAGCTTCGAGGACTTATTTGATGAAACCGGAAGACCGCGAGCTTTGGCGGCCAAGGATTGCGTTTGCTGCAGGTATATAAATAAGACCGGTGTGCTTTAATTGACCTTTGACCTGGAGAACACTCACAATTGAATATCGCGGACTTGGGGATGTTGGCAAGTCTATCGGTTTCAATGTTGGCGAGTGATGTTATCGCGATGTCCAATGCAACTAATTGACGTTCCGCCGCTTGGCAAAGACACCTAAGACCACGCTTTTTCCCCAATTCATGCCCGCCGAATCAGCCACTCCTGTGACTCTGATTTTGCTGCGTCTTGATCAGGCCGATATTTTACTTTGGCCATCTCATCACACGTTTGATTAATCTGCCGACCCGACCGTATCCCGTGCGGGATTGCTTCTCCTCTATCCGCCTACGCCCTCAAGATTCTCTCGACCCCCTCTTCCCTCCTACACCAGCAAGCAAACGTTGATTCGAAATCTGTCCGATTTTTCCCATAAACTCCGGTCGCTATGCCCTCGGCTTCGGCATCTGGCTCTGACGCCAAACGCGGAGGTGCGACGTCGCGCGACCATAAGCAAGGTAACCAGGATCGCAAGTATACAGAAGAGCAGAAAGCTGCTGTGCTTCGGATTCGAAGATGCCAGCCTACGGCCTTTTACGAAATTCTGCTGGTCGAGCGCTCGTCAACGGATAATGAGATTAAGAAGGCGTACCGGAAACAGAGTTTGTTGACGCATCCTGATAAAAACGGGCACGAGGGCGCAGACGAGGCGTTTAAGAGTGAGCAATGAGCACCCCTAGCCAAACTCTTGACATATTGATTCTTACGCGGTGACAGTGGTCTCGCGTGCTTTCCAGATTCTCTCCGACGAGGAAAAGAAGTCGAAATACGACAAATTCGGCGGCGATCCTGATAGCAGGTTCCAACCCGGACCGAGCGCTTCGAGCGGCGCGTCGCCCTTCGGTGGATTCGGTGGTGGATTCGGCCGTGACCAAAGATTCAACGAGGAAGTCTCAGCCGAGGAAATGTTCAACCGGTTCTTTAATGGTGGATTTGGCGGAATGGGCGGTGGTGGATTCGGTACTACAGCTTCCTCTGATATTCGTTTTACTCGAGCTAATCCTGTCTTACTATAGGCGGTCCGCAATTCGTCTTCAACATGGGAGGAGGCCCCGGGTTCCGAGTGCATCAGTTTGGAGGCCAGGCGCCCCGTCGCCGGCCTCGCGCAGCAGCCACCGAGCAGGAAGCTCAGATCGATAGCCGCAGTTTCCTGCGCCAGCTATTGCCGCTTATCATTCTATTTATCCTGCCGCTCCTCTCCTCTCTCTTCTCTGGCTCCTCAACCCCATCCGGACCCTCCTATCGCTTTGATACCCCCGTCTCCCCGCATACCCTCGGCCGCGTGACCCCGAAACTCAACCTCAACTACTTTGTGAACCCTCTCGATGTGGATAGCTATAGTGCCCGGAACTTTCGCGAGCTAGACTCGCGCGTGGAGGTGGAATATGTCAGGACACTGCGGAATGAATGTGACGCCGAAGCCCATGAGCGGGAGAGGAGGCTGCAAGATGCGCAGGGGTGGCTCTTCCCTGACGTTGAGAAAATGAAGAAGGCTCGTGCGATGGAGATGCCGAGCTGCAGGCGTCTGGACCAACTGAAGACGAAGGTGAGATATTAAATGCACTGCGGACTTGGAGGCTTACGCCGCGCCTTTTTATGACATTTTGTTCCTTTTGGAGGCTCTTTTTGCAAAAGAACGTGCTCTAATATCATTAGCCCATCCACAAAGATGGCATCTGGGTCTCAGTTAATCAACTGTACATTTTATTTTTTTGGAGTTTCAAATGCATTTAGGATCTTGCTAAATTTCTCTTTTTGGTTCCCCTGATGTTTAAGAATCTTTGGTTTTCGTTTCTGATGTCATGTCCTGATGTGAATACATGAAGATATATATAGTGTCACACAAAAGTTCGTCGAGGTTGCGGCCATAAATCTGAAACATAAACAAATCCTGTAGATATCAAGTTATCCAATTTTTAATATCTAGAACAGTATATTCATAGAAAAGATGTTCCTATGTTCCAACAACCTAAACCTTCGAACGTATGAAAGGAAAAAAAAAGTGACTTGATAGGTACCTGACATTTTGCGCATAGTCAGCGCAAACCCCAAAGTACCTTATATGTACCCCGGATCCCACGCCCAACCATGGATTGCTTAGTCAAATTCGATCACCGCGCTGAATCTCGAATCAGAACAAAAGCGAATCTCGGCGATCATCACGGAATCAGAAGTGCTCATCCAGCGACATACATCTGCGGATTCTAGACTCCATTGCCCCCACTTCGAGGCTTTAAAGCTGCCTGATTCCGCTTTCACGCCTTATGATTCCTACACCGTCACGACAATATTGATATTCTGCCGACTCGATCCACCAGATTAGCGGTCTTGCCAACCTCTCTGGAGCAGATTATTGTCTGACCATCAGCTAACATGTCGGACACACTTTCCGACGCAGACAAGGTTAGTTTCTTGTTGTACTCGAGCTATGAAGCTATACCGCCCCCGCAGTGACTCGACTCGAGGACTGACATCTATCTTGATAAAAAAAAGATTCGCAACAAGCGACTTGCAAAGCTCTCAAACCCAGGCCAGTCCTCCGACGGTGCCTCCGAATCGACACAGAGCTCATCTAACACATCTCCGTCACAATCACCACTGTCGGTGCAGCCACCGAGTCGCCTTTTCAACGCGCCACCAACCCCGCAGCAGTCAGAAGGGAAGCGGATCAAGATCACACCGGCCGCGGCTTCATCGGAGCAACCACGAACCGCCGCTCCCTCAGCCCCGAGCACCCCTCCGCCACAGAAAATCGAAAGCATAGAGGCCTTCGAAGACCGAACACTAAGTGCCGTGTTCAGAGTGACCCTCAAGGAAGAAGGGCATCGTGACATACATGGCAGCCGTACATACTTGCCTGGGCTTCGGAGCGAACTGCAGGATGAGGGTCAGGACTTGCGCATCCAGGTTGAGGTTCTGGACCAGGCCCTCCTAGAGGCTGCGTCAAAGGCCGAGAAGCAGCGTCCACTCGACTATCTGCTGCCGTGCTGGAAGCGCATCACAAAACTGTACAAGGGATTGAGGCGGACGGGAGATGATGACCCGAAGTATCAGGTTCTGTGTGAGGCACGGCGCCTGTGTATGAGCTATTGTATCTTTGCGATTACAATGCCAGAGATGTTTGGGTTCGTTCTCTGGAATGCTGCTACACTGGCACTGGATACTGACTGAACTGTAGGAGCGAATGGTCCCCTCAATCATCGTTAGCCTCGTATCTTCTCATCGACCCCGAGGATGATAGAGGAATTGATTTCGAGTTTATCAACGAAGCTGTGAGAAGATTCGACGAAGACGACTCCGTCAAGCCTGCCTTCATCTCTGCCGTCGAGCAGTTGAGCGCGCAGCTCTCTTCTATGGACGTTAACGATGACTACAAGCCATACGCCATTGTAAGTCAAACGTCACAATTTCCCTGGACCACGTCTGACCAGTTTGTTCAGGCTCTTCGAAACCTTGTTCGCCACGGTTCCATCGCGGCAGCAATCACAGAATCGTCCATTTTCAACAACACAAGGGACCCTGCTCAATTCGAGAAAGCCACTCTTTTGGGTCCATGGTTCCGCCTCTCACCCCTTCAAGCTAATGTTACCCTGTCCTATTTCTCTAGCCCCAAGACCAGGGACCAGGCATACATTTCCAATGCCCAGCGATCGCTCCGAATGACGCAGCAGATGCTCAGTTCTGATCTTCTTGATGTTATCAACCACCTGATCCGGGCTTCGAAAGAGGCTCGAGATCGTGTTTTAGATTGGTTCGCGACTGCTATGAACATCAACCACAAACGACGGGCCATGCAGGTTGACCCTGCGCAAGTATCCTCTGACGGCTTCATGTTCAATATTACAACTTGCCTCGACCAGCTCTGTGAGCCGTTCATGGATGCAGCATTCACCAAAATCGACAGAGTTGATGCAGATTATCTCCACCGCGATTCTCGAGTTGACATGCGGGATGAGACCAAAATCAATGCCGATCAGCATGCCTCCGACGCTTTCTATTCTAAGAAGGTTGAGGGAACTTCAAACTTTATCACCGAAGTATTCTTCCTGACTGTCGCCGCCCATCACTACGGCAGTGAATCATTGACGTCAAAGATGGAGCAACTCGAGAAAGATGTGCGACAGATGGAGAGTACAATCACTAAATTTGAACTTGAGCGGGTTCGTTGGCTCAACAATCCACAGCAATTGCGCACCTTCGATACGGCCCTGAAGAAGTACAAAGACAAGCTCGAACTGGGCATCGCTCTCAAATACAGTCTCCAAGGTGTGTTGTTCGACGAGCAGTGGCAGGCTCGTTCTATGCTATTCATGCGATATGTTACCGTGTGGCTTCTGAGACTTGTCTCTGGAAAGAACTTCCCCAAAGAGCAAGTTACCCTGCCTCTTCCAGAGGAGCAGCCCGAAGTCTTCAAATGTCTACCAGAGTACTTCTTGGAGGATGTTGTCAGTAACTTCAAGTTTATCATGTGGTGCATGCCACAGATCATTACGGCCACCCAGGGAGATGAGCTGGTAATGCTGTGCATCACATTCCTAGAGTGCTCGACCTATATTAAGAATCCCTATCTGAAAGCCGGACTGATCTCCATTCTGTTCCGAGGCACCTGGAAGCGCCCTGGTGGCGCCAGTGGTGTTTTAGTCGACTTGCTCAACAGCATGCCATTTGCCAACGAACATCTCCTCCATGCGGTCATGAAATTCTATATTGAGGCAGAGTTCACGGGAACACATTCCCAATTCTACGACAAGTTTAACATCCGTTACGAGATCTTCCAGATCATCAAATGCATCTGGCCCAACACTCTGTATCGGGAGAAGTTGTCCCTTCAAGCCAATCAGAACCTGGATTTCTTCGTCCAATTCGTTAACCTTCTACTAAACGATGTGACTTACGTCCTCGATGAATCTTTCGGTGCTTTCAAGACTATCCACAACACTCAGACCGAGCTGAATACACAGGGCAACTCAATGGATGCCGCAACCCGCCAACAGCGGGAGGAGAACCTGTCATCAGCGCAGCGCAGCGCCAAGAGCTACATGCAACTGACTAATCAAACCGTGGCAATGCTCAAGCTATTCACTGAGGCGCTTGCTGACTCGTTCACAATGCCTGAAATTGTGCAGCGACTGGCAGACATGCTGGACTACAATCTCGACGCAATGGTGGGACCCAAGAGCTCCAATCTCCGAGTGGACAACCTGCAGGAATATGGCTTCAATCCCCGCGCTCTTCTGAGTGAGATTGTCGACGTCTATCTTAATCTGATCGGCAAGGAAAACTTCATCCTGGCTGTTGCCCGTGATGGCCGATCCTACAAGCCAGCCAATTTCGAGAAGGCGGCTGATATTATCCGAAAGTGGTCGCTGAAATCCCCCGAGCAGCTTCACCACTGGAGTGAGCTGCAGAAGAAGGTCCAGGCTGCCAAGGAGGCCGATGATCAAGCGGAGGAAGACATGGGCGAGATCCCTGAAGAGTTCCTCGGTATTTTTCCCTTTTTGAACTATCCCTTTTCGACAGCTGCTAATTTTTTAGATCCTCTTATGTATTCCCTCATGGATGATCCCGTCATACTTCCCAGCTCACGGATCGCCATCGACCGCGCTACAATTCGCTCGCATCTCCTGAGTGACCCCCACGATCCATTTAACCGTGTCCCATTGAAGATTGAAGATGTAGTAGCTGGTAAGTAATTTTCTTTCCCAGGTATTGTTCCAATACCAGTATTAACCACCTTTCTAGATACCGAACTTAAAGCCAAGATTGAGGCGTTCAAAAATGAGAAATTAGCTGGCAAACGGAGGGAAATGGTGCATGATCGGATGGACACTTCAAATTAAGGAGCCGGAGCTTTTTATGATTTAATTCACAAGCTTGCTTGTCTAGGGCATTAGCGTTTACGGTACAGAATACACTCTGTCTATGTGGAATCATCCCCTTGGTTATTTACACATGTGATTTTTGTCAAGTAGAGAATCAAACGAACATAGTCTTGTCGCCGACTTGCTGAAACTGGTAATTTGCCCTTGTCTTACCCTTTGTAGTTGTAGGAGGACTTTCGTTTGCACGACCCCGTTTGAATTGTCCCGTATGTGCCCTTCTCAAGTCGACAATTCACCGATCTTGTTAGAAATTGCCATACTGATCGATATACCCAACAGGAATATACCCAACAGGGTTTGTTCTTCTAAAAGATTTAAAAGACTAAACAAAGTAAAAAAAAGAAAAACAAAAAGCAGAAGTTTAAGTGCTTACCCGGGACCCACCGCCTTCCACATAAGCTTTAAGCTTCCTGTTTACCCTCCGCCATCTTCACCCTTCATCTCTTCTCTCAATCGAAATGGGTGCGACTATTTCCACTTGCTTGGGAGCTCTGCCTCCTGCTGTGGAGCTCTTCCCTCCATCCCCAACTGTCTACACCTCTGTTATATGCTGCTTCCAATACTTTCCCCTGGTCAGGACCCTGAAGCCTTGGAGAGATGCTACCAGACTAACTCGGGACATTTAGGTGACGGCAATTCAATGGATTCTGTCCTGGCACCCAGCAGGCAAAACCTCCTCGGAGTCCATCTTCAACATCCCAGGACGTATCGCCTGGTCTGCCATGGAGATTGTCGGCCCTATCAACTTGATCTATAGCATGGTCACTCCATCGCCATATGCACCCTCTTTCACTGATCTCCCTGTTTCCAACATCCTCATCGTAACTCTGTACTGCACACACTATTTCAACCGCGCTATCATCTCCCCTTTCTTCTCCGCGCCTAGTATGTCCCCAATCCACGCCAGCATCATGGTCTTCGCCATGGTCTTCAATTGGTTCAACTCCGCCTGTCTGGCCGGCTGGTTGCGCGGATATACAGTGCCGATTATCCCAAGCTTCACGGCTAGCAGCGGAAGTCCCCGCTCCGCGGTGGTAGATCTCCTCCCCACCGCGGGCGTAATCTTATTTGCTATCGGAATGGCCGGCAACATCTACTCAGAGACAGCCCTGTTCCGACTTCGGCGCGAAGAGGCCGAAAAGCGCGCTGCCAAAAAGGCAGATGACCAACCTCGGGCGGGGGGAAACATGTTCCACAAGGTCTACGTCATCCCACCCTCTCGTGGTGTCTTCCGATACATTTTGTATCCGCACTACGTGTTCGAGTGGCTCGAATGGATTGGCTTTGCTCTGGCTGGTACGGCAGTTGTCCCCTTCTCCGCCCTGCCGGCCTCTGTCTCGGCGACTTCGGCCATCACTCCCCCGCTGGTTCTAGCGCCGTGGTTGGTGCCTGCTGCGTGGGCGGCTAATAAGCTCGCTGTGCCGCTGCCTTTGCCGGCTGTGGTGTTTGTTGTCAATGCGGTCACGAATATGTTGCCCCATGCGCGCTGGGGACGAAAGTGGTATGTTGAGAAGTTTGGGGAGAACGGTGTTGCTGGGAGGGGCGCTGTAGTCCCTGGGTGTGCGTGGATGTGAAATGGGAGCTCTCCGGGATATCTTCTTTTTTATTCTTCTCGTTAGTGGCTTCCTGAGCTTGATATCCAAATACGATTGTTTCTGGCTGGATCTGAATTCCTTCGGTCACACTGTAAAAGTGTTAGCATTCTCTCGTCCAGCATATCTTTCAGCTTCCGGGTGGCTTCAAGTATGCCGCCATCTGGACAAGTAGCATAGAAATGCTCAATTGTCCTGGTTCAAGGGTTATATCTTCGGCTGTACCAAGTGGGGACAACGATGTGTCGATGAGGTTCAGGGCTGGCGTTTTCGAGTCCTGGTTAGGGAGTGTTGCGCTTAGGATTGTGCCCTGGATATGTTGTAGGATTCCACAAGTGATCCAGATTGCTGCCACTATCCTAGCATTAGGCTAACCGACACAATGTGAGACATTTAGAAGAGAAGTGGAGTGCAACAGCAATGTCCGATGTAACCGTGCGCACATACCTTCTCCGCCAGCGGTAAATACCGCCATGTCCAGAAATTATGTATCTTTTGTATGGTTGGCCAATACAAAAGATACTTCCCAAGTACATCATCGGCATAAGATCAATTTCAAGATATGATAAAATTCAAAGAAAGTCTACCTTATTAATTGAAGTTTAATGGGAATGTTTAACATATTAAAGGAACGGCATTTCGTTTGTTTCTGCAACTCCGTACTCCGTACTATATAGTTAGTGTCTTTTTAAACTTTATTTCTTGTTAGAAGCATTCAATTATTGGAGCTAGGCTCGCGTTATATATTGGTGCGCTTCCCGCTAACCAGTCCGAAGGCTGAGGAAAATTAACAAGTATCCTTTGTATGGGTACGTTATACAAAGGATACATACCGAATCTGGGTTCGGATCTGCCCGACCTGGATCTGGTAATTGGGGTAAGCTACAAAACTAGGTGGATCACGAATTGTAAAATCAAGTATCTTTTATATAGGAACTCAATACAAAATATACTTGCACGCAATTCTCTGAACCCTTAAGACCCTTGGACCCCTAAGGGTCGACGCTTGGGTATGCGTCACCACTGGGGCAGTAGGCGTAACCACCCGTAAAAAAGGCTGTAAATAAGTAGCTTTTGTATGGAATTGCTATATAAAAGATACTTCCTGCGGGTGTGGGTGAAAGTCTGGTACCTGGTGGAGCGTACCAAGAATAAAAGAACCATGGAAACAATTCGGGGGTTTCCCGACTCCAACCTTGAAGGTTCCAAAGTTTCAATTGTTACGGTTGTTACGGTTACATATATCAAACTCAAAATATAATACAGAATCACTTTGTTACTTCGTATATCGATTGATCGTCATCCCTTTGCCCCTTATTCGGAATGCAAAGGGAGAGTACCTCGGTTGCAGACCTAGCGCAATGTACAGATAAGACAGTTATCTCTTTTTCTTTTCAAGAATGTGTAACAACCGGGCAACGTTTTATTATAGATACACAGATTATATGCCCATGTATGTTGTAGTCTTCGGGTATCAATATGAATAAACTTGCCACCCTATAACTCCCAAAAGAAAAAACAAATCCTAAACCCTATCATCGGCGCTGATACGTAATCCATTCAGCGACCCCATCCTATTCAATCTCGGCGAAGTCTGTCCGGGGCCGGGCGACATCTGTGGCGGATTCTGCTCGCGCGAAACGATCACCTCGGTCGTGCGCACGATGCCCTCACCCTGAATCGGCAAGATCCGCTCCTCGCTGGAATTGCTCCGTTGACTCCCCGCATACGCCGCCGAGCCGGTCGTAGACGCGAGCTGGGAGCGGTGGTTCTGCGGGTCGGCATCGTACTCGATGACGCTGAGGTTGCCGCTTTTGTGGCCGCGGGATTGGAGCGGTCCGCCCCGTGATCGCGACATCGAGTGCAATTTGTATTTATTGCTGCCGGGGTACTCGCGTGTCGTTTTGGATTGGGAGCCGTATGTGCCGAGGAATCTCTTGAAGAGGGGTTTGAGGGTTGGGAGCGTGCCCGCGATGATACCTGTGTTGCATTCCGTGCTATTTTTTGTTAGAATGGCTTAAAGTGGTGGATAACTAGTCAACTTACACGACCCAGATTGTGAGGTTTGAAAAGTCCCAGAGGAAGTCGCCGGCGCTGCCATAGCTGGATAGGATAGAGAGCTTGACGAAGGCGGCTGCGCAGGCACTAAGGGAGTAGATGAATTAGCATGGCTTATGACGGGATTGGATTGGAAGTCGCGTACAAAACTCCCAGGCCTAGGATACAGATGAGAGAGGCTTTCACTCTGCGATTGACTTGAAGATGACTGTATTGTATTAGCATCTCATCGGAAGAAAGCGATGACCATAGCATACCGTAGCATGAAAACCGGTAGGACCGCGAAGATCAGATCAGTCAGGATATTCAATGCTGTTCAAGTTAAAAAACGTTTATTTAAACCCATACAGAGCGAATCTCACCAGTGTTTGTATAGGTCAGAACCAAAAGTTGTTTACGAGAGAAGCACTTTGATTTCACCGAAGGATCCCAATTTGATCGGATATCTGAACACTCAAAGATAAGAGTCTGCGATCGATCGGATTGTTAGTTGCTGTCGATCGAAAGTGGGGATAAGGCACGCACCAAGAAGCAGATCGCAGTGTAGAGAGTCATGAGAACTGCAATGCGCCGGGCTCGTCAGTAAGACGCAGAAGAAGATATAAAGCCTTTACACACCAATGACCACCCAGATAAAGACCTTGTATCCTTTTCGAGGTGCGAAACGAAGCAAAAACAACCCAATTGATACCTTCACCAGGCCAATGGCCCACATGTAAATGCCCTGGGTAGCATAATTCAAATGCATTGCCTTTACAGACGTTTCTTGAACATAGATCATATGCCTGCCTGCACCGTATATCACCTCGGGGACGATAATGGCGAACCCGCAGAGAGACAGCAGCATGGTCAGGGCCATCGTATAGTCATCCCAGCCGACATTGCGAATCAGGAAGATGCGCACGTAGAACCTGGCCAAAACGGTGAATAACGCGGCGAAAGTAGTGATAGCCGTGGCTATGAGAATCCTAGGGCCTTGATTGACATCTGGGGGATTCACATCCCTGCTATGCGGACCGTCCGACATGGCTAGTCGTAAAAAGTTATGAAGGAGACATCGAGAGGAGAAGTCAGACAGGGATTATACTCGGGGCCAAATTGACAGGGTCATCCCAAAGGTTATAGATTTAATACATAGAACCCCGTACACCGTATCATAGGTTTCGCATTACAGTCAGCTCTACCAAGTTATCACTGTGGTCCCCGAAGCCAAGAGGAAGGTGGCGTGAGTCTCGTATGGAGGGGCTTTTTTCATCTATTCTACTTCGATTAAGCACCACAGGCCAATCATCTGGTTTCATCTTGTTCTTCAACTTCGGGTCAACAGTCTCCTTTGAGCGGTTCACAAGCGACGTCGGACATAATAAAAACGAAAACGCAAATGCCATTATCTGTGTTCCGTGAAAGTTCGACGCCTGCATGGAAACAATGCATTCCCTCCAATGGAAGAGGTTTCCAGAATACGCCTCAGACCCGGCAGCCGGGTTGTAGTTCGTCATTCGAAACATGGCCAATGAGCAGGCGGAGCATCATCGGTAAGAAAAGCAAGGAGATGAGCCCCTCGGATGTACTGGGAAGGGTTGCATAGGTAGCTTGCAGTCGGAGTTTACGGACTTGGCCGCAGCTAGGGCACTAGGAGGGGCGTGACTCCGAGATTGGCTGGATTTTGATTAATTTCCCAAAGCGACCACGTTGTTAAATTGGCCAAATTCAATAAATTGGATTCTTCCAGGGTCTAGACGGCCACAGGGATTGTCGCTTAGCTGAAATTGCCAAGCGACAAGGGGACCACGTGGTGGCTGATTCCTATTTGCTTCAGATTTATTGTAGTAATATGCGTTTCTCGTCATACGTCCCTATATGGAGTTGATGGGATCCCCAGAGTCTAAAAGGCTCGGTCCGTAAGTGATCCGACGGTTTTTTCAGGGAAGAGGATCCCTGAATAGACCGAAAACCCTGAGTTTAAGGGAAAAAGTGCGATAGCAAATTGCCGGCGTCTCCCGGTGGAGAAAGCGGAACGTATGGCCCGGTGCCCTAAATGGTCCCAGCAGAAGAGGGGAGATTATGGACCCCCGCGGATTTTATGCAAGAAGCGCATGCTTCGAGTTAGACTCGGACGTCGAAGATAGGGGCGATGAAGCTATTAAATCAACAAGCATGCCCGGATTCCTTCTGGCTCAACACTTCTCCCAAGCTCTTGTCAACTCGCCACCATGGTTGCCATCTCCATTCTCACTCTGGGAGCTTTGTTCGCGCAGGCGTGGGCTATCCCCACTGCCGTGGACAGTGCTACTGCGAGCGCGACTCCCACCGCTGCTTCCACCTCCCTGCCGATCGCTGAGTCACAGCTTGCGGACTTGGCTGGGTTGGCGTACAACACCACCATCGATACTGTCTCGAGCGACTCGGACATTACCAAGCGTGGTACTTGTTCCTTGAGCAATCTGCGCATCCGTCGCGATTGGAGGACTTTCTCTAGCACCCAGAAGAAGTCCTACATCAGCTCCATCCTTTGCCTGCAGAAGTTGCCTTCTTTGACTCCTTCCGCGGAGGTCCCTGGTGCGCGGTCTCGTTACGATGACTTTGTCGCAACCCACATCAACCAGACTTTGGAGATTCACTTCACCGGAACCTTCCTCGCGTGGCACCGGTACTTCATCTACAACTTCGAGGAAGCCATGCGCAACGAGTGTGGCTACACCGGCGACTACCCGTAAGTCAATCGCATCACATAATAAAAAATAAAAAAAATTACCAATATCTAACATAACCACAGCTACTGGAACTGGCCCGCTGACGCCGGCAACCTGGAGACATCCCAAGTCTTCGACGGCAGCGACACCTCGATGTCCGGAAACGGCGCCACCGTCGCGTCCGCCGGCGACATCCAGCTGAGTCTGGGCGACTACCCGATCATCTACCTACCCACCGGCAACGGCGGCGGCTGCGTGACCAGCGGCCCCTTCAAGGACTACACCGTCAACCTGGGCCCCGTCACCCTGATGCTCCCCGGCGGCGGCAGCCAAACCAGCGAGAACCCCTTCGCCTACAACCCCCGCTGCCTGAAGCGCGATCTGACCACCAAGATCGTCCAGGATTACGCCAACTTCACCGCGGTCGTGGACCTGATCCTGCGCCACGACAACGTCTACGACTTCCAGATGAACATGCAGGGTGTCCCCGGCAGCGGCAACATCGGCGTCCACGGTGGCGGTCACTACTCCATGGGCGGTGATCCGGCCCGTGATGTCTTCGTCAGCCCCGGTGACCCTGCTTTCTGGCTCCACCACGGTATGATTGATCGCACCTGGTGGATCTGGCAGAACTTGGACCTGCACAAGCGTCTGAATGCTATTTCTGGCACCGGTACTTTCTTGAACAGCCCGGCTTCGGCGAACACTACCCTTGACACCCTCATTAACATTGGTTATGCTGGTGGTTCGGATATTGCTATGCGCGATCTCATGAGCACCGTCTCCGGTCCTTTCTGCTACATCTACCTGTAGGTGGTCGTTATTGGCTGTATATACTCAGACCCCTGGACTGCGGATTGGCTGGAAGATGGCAAGAATGGGAGTGGAGGAAGTCATATTGTACAGAAGATAGAATTGTATATAATCCATTTAGGCCGAGAAGTGACTAAAATACTCGGGAAGACAAGAAAATTATTCTATCCTCAAAATATTCAAGATATTCATAAATCAGGTCCAAAAGTAATATAGCAATCTAAGACCTATAGCCAAAAGAACCCACTTATTATTACATCTTCCACCGCGAGAACATCATAAGCGGAACCCACAGCCAAGAAAAAGGAAGCAAAGAGCCCTGCATGGAGGAATCGGGCTTTCCAGCACCGTTAGTAACAGCAGGATAAGTATCCTGGCCGTAAGTTGTGTTTAGCGTGACATGAGCCTGGGCAGACCCATCTTCCAATCGAATCCACGTCTCGGTGTCGTTTGCGAGATTATCCTCGTGGAGTAAGATCTGCCGTCCACCGCGGGCCAGATTTCCATAGCCGCCATACCCCGTATGCCGCCCGTAGCACATATTGATACCATTCCCGGTTAGATCGTGATCGACAAGAGATCCATTCCATTTGAAGCACCTGCGAGATTTAGCGTTTGAATCATTCAAGTCACTATTATTTGCCTGTTAGACACATACCAGTCATTTTGATGATCGTGGCCGCTAAATCCTGCGATTAAGCCTTCAGTGTGAAGGAGTGCGTCCATGAACTTGACGTCCTGGCCGTCATAGGTCCATTCGCCGGTTCCTTGCGGGTTCACGCGCTCGAGATTCACGCCGGGATTCAGGTGTGGATTTACACCTTTTGTTTGTTGGTGTTCCAGCATCGCGTGCGCAGGGATGTGATAGAATGCTAGCGAGGGAATGGCTTTGCCATACTTCTTGTTCAGTTCGGAATTGGTTTTCGTGAACCATTCAATGACCTTGAATGCAGCCAGTCAGTCATTTCCCGAACCAATATAGGGGCTTTCGTACCGATTCATGAATCCAACTGGGCCGTTTAACAGCAGGTCCAGTCTCTCCTTGCTTCTGGTAATAATGTCCACCCTTCGAATCGAAGAACCACAGCAGCAGCGTCGGCGTGCTGGTATTCGTCTGTCCATGTGAGAACACAGGCAGGTAATAATCTGTTATTCCGGCCTTGTCGCCGGAGATCATACTCTGCGTTAAACTGTTGGTATATTTGTTCTCCTCCTCGAGCATGTCATCTTCCGGGTTGAGATTAACCTCGCTATCGTGGTTGCCGTAGGTCGATGCCCAGCTGTATCCCTTTTCGACAAGCGGGGAAACTACCGAGTCGATATATTTTTTTGAATCGGCTTTTTGGGTTCTTTCGCCCGAGACTAGGTCGCCGTTTATGACTATGAAGTCGATGTCCTCCTTCGAGAGAATCGTTGACATCACTTTTTTGGACTTCTCATCTTTTTCGTCGTCTGCAAGGGGTTAACAAAAGACCATTTCTCATCAATTATCAACACATACCCTCGGCGAAATGCAAATCCTCAAAGACTCCAATGTGAAATGTTCCATCTTCTCTAAACCGCAGGGTTCGATCCTTGGGTGCTCTGAGAACGGTTTGTTTCAATTCCCTGAGATCCGGTCGGGGTACCATATTGGAGAAATGTTGAATCAAAAGTGAGCGATCGCGGGGAGATTGGCTGTAAGGGTTCAACGAGATTCACGTGCTGAGCATCTCGCAGTCACGTCAGGAGCGTCGTGCCAAGACTTTTTGGATAGATTCGGCTATTTGCTCGACATTCTGCAATTGACTAGCGCTACTAGTTCAATTACTGGTTTAATTCATATTGGATTGTAAATTCTATTTCCTCGGGGTGTTTTAAGGGTAATTCTACCGTGACTTAATGCTAATCCTATCTATAAATTGTAACTGTCCCTTGGTTATACATAGGAAAGTCGTCTGTACTGTTGACCCTTTTTCTCGCCTTTTAGCTATCAAAGCGAGAAGGGAAAGATAAGAATAAACGATGGCCAAGAGGTCTAAAAAGACTACCAATAATAAGATCAATTTAGTTAGTGTGTACAAATAATCCAATGCCTTCGCTACCCAAAAAAGAGAACAAAGAAAGAACAAAGAAAGAACAACAAAATCCGACCGAGGACGTACCCCTATCGTTATTGGCGAGCTGAGATACCACTCTGCAAGAGTCCTGAATCCGATAGAGGTTCCTCGGGGAAATTGTAGAGCTTGCCGTTGAAATAGGAGATATTACCTTCAAAGTCAGTTCTATGCATCTAGTGAGGTCGAGACATTATTAGCCCCCAACGAGCTTGCGGAAGAAGTGACCATTGACTGCTCGAATGAGTTTGAATTTCTTGAATGCCTCCTCGGGAAGAAATGCAAACGTTGCTGTATCGAATATATACACGGCGAGTCGAGAATTGCCGGATGATGTTTCTAGCAGTGCTTTAGGGCCAGGTTTATCCGGCTAGCATCACAATGGTACGTGGTGGCCTCTACATCCTAGTGGCAGAGGAAGAATTTCTAAGCCGAACAGAAGTATATGAAAATATAGGTTAGTGCTCTCTCAGTCAGCTAGGTTACCTAGTCCTCTGGCTCATATAGTAGAATGTAGATGAAGCTATAATAGATGGAGACATTTTGCTATATTCGAACCCGATAATAGATATAGTAGACGGTAATATAATAGTAAATGGCTATATTCTTAACCCTATGGGCTAGGAAAAGTAATCAACTCTAACGCATTTATTACCTGGAGATACTAGAATTAAGGTAGACGAGTTACAATTAGAACCGGTAGCTTATATTATCGGGGAAAGCATGCCAGCCAAGAAGTATAATAACAGCCTGTTTCCGAAAGCTATGTGGTTAATAGCCAGGAGAAAGACAGGGCTGTAGCTCATGACGACGAAGACGGGCTATAGCGTTGTGATGCGGAGAGCCTGTCAGCATCCCTAGTAGTCGCGGATCGGACTTCCCTAATAAGTTTGCACGATATCGAAACGATTCCTATCCGTGGTTTCCTTACACGGGAGATACTTTTGTTGAGGATCATCTATTTAGTTACCTTTGAAGAGTAGGCAGAGCATTCCTACTCGCAGAGATTAGGTAAAGCTATATCACATTATGAAAATAAAATTAGCAGCTAGAATTATAAGCAACCCCGCTAGAAAGGATCCTACTCTGGGAAAGAGACTGGGCTAACCGGAATCATCTAAGGACGACCAGCTTTTGATTGAATCGAAGGAAGAGCGGAGATTGCTATAGAAGCGAATTGCAAAGTATTTTCCTAGAAGTTCGGAAGGCTCCCTCCAGGTACGCTATTGTATACGCCTTAAGGGCCGCAAGGCTGCAACTTCTTATCATTCTGGACAGATTTCCTATGCGAGCAGCCATTCTTTATACAGAGGCGTACCTGGCGAGGCAGTTTAAGCCGCGGGTGGCAAGAGTAAAGGCACCGAAGAAGATGTGTCAAGACAGCGATACGGTACACCTCGCCGCAGGCAAACGGTGGACCGCTATTCCCCGGTTTGAGTTGCAAGAATTATTAGTCTTTGTCAAATATCAGTCAAACATATTGCCGAGTACTAGGTCTTATTCTCAGATAGTGTCTTCTTCCCTTTGGCACTTCCTCTATAGAGTCGACTTCCAATACTCATTATTCTCCTGTGCCCTGTTTCACAAAGCTCGTTTGGCTACAGTCGAACCTCACTGGGTTTCACAGTCCGAAGAACGGCAATGGTCCCTCCGCAGAGTCGCCAAACTGTTCTGGTATTGAAACCCAGCTTAACCTTGCAGCAAAAAGCAACCAGCGCGGGCGACTCGTTTCCTGCCCGATGAGGACGAACTGTTGATTGAACTGAAGGAAAAACGAGGTCTCCCGTGTAGTCGGATCGTGAAACATTTTCCAGGGAGGACGAAGGGTTCTCTCCAGGTTCGCTATAGTACCAGGCTCAAGGACCGAGGGACTGGAAGTCCCAGGCAAGGTCGGAATAGAAGGGTTACATATCCTACAGCTGTGGCTGTGACTCCACAGGAGACAAGTGGCCTACTCCCTAGGTCTCCTCGTAGGACTAGAAAGCAATCGTCTTGAATTATGTATATAGAAGTGTTGCGGTAAGCTCCCCTGTCGAATGACGAGGATGGGAGTCCCTTTATTTCGGTATATTCAAGGGCTTGGCCTGCTCTCTTGATTCATATGCGACATTCTCAAGTAGTGTACGCGCTTCAAACTACCTCGAGATCTCGATCAGTTACTAGTCGCCAGAGTCCCGGGGCACCCGCCGAATAAACGCTTAGCCCGTTTCACGAAGGCGACAGAAATTTGCGTCACATATCTTGGGACACGGTTATTTAGCGGTTCATAATTGCGACCCGCGAGCCTCTCAAGTTGCTTCGGCTCTTCTGACGTCAAAGCTCGTTGCTAATGGGAGGGCAGGTGAGTCATCAAATCCCGGGGAGACCGCTTCCAAGTAAACAAAGGGGAATATTGATTCTTGAAGTTGTTTAGGGTGAATTGCGCTGGCGTTGGTAACGGCGTCTGGTTCCTTGATCGGAATTACACGTATTTGTTAGTTAGACTGGCAGCTTTATTGTACTGTGGTTTGAAATCCATCCTTATTCTTGATTGTTAAATATTTGGGCAATCAAGAAAATTGCAGTCACGAAGTGCGATCTGCTATGGTGCTGGATAGCTCAAGACATGGCTTCATATATTTTTGGAGCGGGTCGTAGCAACCTCTCGAAATGGCTGCCCACCTTCGGATTTCTTAATCTGCCGCCCTTCTCCAAAAGTCACTATCATTGTCAATATCGTAGTCATCATCATCGTAATCATCATCATCGTAATCATCATAAAGAGACTCGTCATCTTCAACATCATCCCAAGTTCTGTCGTTGTTCCACTCCTCTTCTTCAACTGGCTCCACCACATTAAGTATCCATCCATGACTCTCCATTTTCCTTCTGATATCTGAGCTTGGACGTTCCTCATAAACCTCGACAATGATTTCCTGGAGAGATGAGATTGTTTTGAAGCGAGCAGCAACCAGTGCTAATGCCTTGGCACAAATTGTAGGGCTGTCCAAAGAATCTAGCCGGTTTTCCATTATACTGGTGCTTTCTGATGCTACTATGAGCGTTTTTAGATTGGTACAGTGTGACTGTATCTTTTCCAGGATATGAAGGCTGTCTTCTTCCAGGCTGATGTCCTCTTCAAGATCACGAAGTCCAGGAAAGTCGATGCGGATACACCGAAGGTGAGACGAGTTGACAAAGCCAATAGTATCAAAAAATTGGGATGTAAGTTCGGAATTCCAAGTCGAGAGGGTAAGGTCAAAGCGGTTATGGCCATAGAGTAGCGACGTAGCCTCGTGTAAGATTGCCGAGTTTGTGGAGAGAAGATTGGGTACCAGCTCATGATCTCCATGCCCAGGGTCAATAGGCTCTGTGCGTACTAGGAGATATATGTATATCTCGTTGCGGAGTTCAGCGGGAAGGCTAAGGAAGCTCACTGGCATCTCTCCGATCGTGGTCCAGCAAATTTCGATAGGATGTGTGAATATTCAAGAAGATCATTGACGAAGTGGGGTCAGATAAAGTCAGAGTTGACACCAGTTCACGTGTTCATGTATATTGAACAGAACAAGCATGATACATGTTTTAGTCGTCCCTCACCATCGTATCATAATATTGCCTGAATCTTGGGAATAGGAGATATAACCTTCTCGGTATGCCTCTGTTCTGACCAGAATTTGTGGAACTAACGGGGTGAAGACTTTCGTTGCATCAAATTTCTTGGCGACCGAGTGGTTCACTCGAGAAGCTCTTTTCCAACATTGTCCGCGGTTACCCACTTGCTTCTTGAGCAATCTCGAGATCAAACAAAATTTTGTCTATCCGAGCTGTCTAACTTTACCTACTGCGAATCGAATGCCCTTGACTCCGCGTAGATAAGCGATCTGGGTCTCTCGGACTAGGTGGAGTTGCACGAGCTTCTGAAGGAGAGCTATCCAGACCGATCTCCCCACGAGGCCTATACCGAGTTTCTGACAACACGTTGATCAAATATCCGGGACAGGTGGCAAGAATTATCGAACTTACAGTTCGGGGGTATCAAAATGGAATAGTGGGCGCGAGGTAAAGGCAGCGGTGCGGTCGAATTTCCCCCAGACTCGTTCCTGTGGCTGGGGAAGTCAAGCCAAGGGACGATGTGCTTGGGGTAGAGTCGATTCGCTGGGTCGGCTGGTGGCCCTGACCAGTGAGGGTCGCATCCGCTTCAACTTGGATCGCTTAGAACAGAGAGTGCTGGCAGCCTAAAAGCAAAGGAGATAAGCCCTTCGAATCCACTGCGGGACAGGGGTATCATCAGATTGGATACCTGGTGCGAAGTCAAGTAAAGAATCCCTTGGTAATGTTCTAGCTTTCGCAGGGAAATGGTGACCAGTGGATTGTGCTGTCGTGGAGCTCTGTGCGACTTGTCATGAACACATCCGCCTCACCAGGGAGGTACGGCAACTCGAAGTCATTTTTAAAATCGCAAAGCCCTTCAACGCCGTACCCCCACCCAAATGAAGCAAAGTATTCTTGGACTTCTGGAGTGGGCCCTCGAACACAAGCATAGCGGAGAACTTGTGGTTGTCCAGAGGGCTGATTGGACACGCTTAGTTGGCAGTTTGAAACTGCGACCCCACGAGCTTTTTGAGGTTTCGGCTCGGAGATCAAATGCTCATTGCTAGTTATCAGAAGGAAGGTGAATCATCGAGGATAGGTTTTTCGCCTTCCCTGCGTTCTTCATACATGTTGAAGGTCAGTTCTCCTACGAGTGATGCAAACACTCCTTTCCCTGCCTTTTTGGATACAAGCAGAATCTATAGATCGTGCGAAGAGCATGTGCAAGAAGAAGCGAGCGCATAAGACGAGTTCTATTGGGGAAATTTTAGATGTTATTGTTGTCCAACTGAATTTCCTCCAACCAGCTATTCCCGTCGCGACGAGTGCAGTCCGCTTCCATCTCAGCCTCCCTTATGCCAATGCTGCGGTGGTTAACCCATATGCAATAGAATCAAGTTGCATTTCTTCCTCAGGGAAACGTGGAATAAGGGATAACTCTGCTTCGTTGAAATCAGTGAAAAAGGCTGGATTGACAATGCCGCACTTGCAAAGACAGGAGGGTATGCACCAGAATATGCCCAGTCAATCAACCACACTTATTCATGCTTACTCCTAGGAACTGGTGAGATTTGCTTTAAAACTGCCTAGCCAGGCAGAAACAAACATCACGCCGAAAAGCTAACGTAACGGCTGGACTGGGTTTAGACTAGACACTTGAGACAGTGATTAGCTGACTTTTTGATTACCTATCCCTGGTTTCTATCTAGCATCAAATGGCCACATCTTGTCCGCCTTTGCTACTGTCATGTCTTCGCTACAGGACTCAGCTTCTTTGGCAGTCTGTATCCATTCATTATACGCTGCGCGATGAGCAACCCTCGCAGCGTCCCATGCATCATTCGGGATCCACCTGTCAGAATTTGTATCAAGGTTGTCTCTTAGCCATGACTTGAGTGCCTGAACAGCCTCAAAATCTTCATAGTCTCGAGCATGCTGCTTCAATTCCACTTCTGTAGGAGAATATAGACATGAGCCCTCTAGCCCCAGTTCCGCCCAGCGAGTTGAAAGCTCAATTAACTCTTGGTGGACAGCGACAGCGAAGTCTCTCCAAGTTGTATAACAGTAGTGGAAGAGTCGAAAAAGAGTCGGATCAAGTAATCTTACAGGACGAAGCTTAGGAACAACAACCTTTGAATTCCGACCATATCGTTACCACTAGAGGCAGACAATTTTTTTAAGCCCGCGTCAGTACGGTCCTAGTAATCACAGGACCCGAGCCCTACAATAATAGAATCTTGGCATCGCTGGGCAACGAGCCGCATGTCTCAAATGCCCCAAAGCCACCAGTCTTGATTTCTAGGGTTTCCACCAATAGACTTGATCCTGTATAGTGTTCTTGGCCCTGTTCTTGGCCTCCAATCCCTGGCATTCCACTGGCCATACTACGGACTATCCCGTGCTATGAACGAGATACCCCACCTGGGCATTATAATTTATGGCGAGCTCAACTGTTAGACCCACTCCAGAGCTCTCTATCTTGGGCCTCCTGCGTTCGATGTTTCACTTGTCGCTGTGCTTTGCGGTAGCAATCCAATCGAGAATGTGATCCGAGTTGCATAACTATGTGACCATCCGACCGTGTAAGCACATTAGAATGTTCCAATCGTGGCCTTTCGATTGGGTGCAAATGGTGGAAGCGCTTTACCCTTGTATATGGCGTAGAATTGCGCGATATAAGTAGCTTCTCCGGTGAGACTTGTTGACCACAAAGCGCCTAATTGAGCTCGCTCTTTGGTCACAGGAGATTTTCGAAGCTGAATCACATTTTACGTGTTTCTTGGCTAAGAGGCCCGTGTAGAAATGCTTTAGTAAGAAGGAGATTTAGCATTGGAACGTCAGAAAGCCACATGCATCCTAAAAATGGTCAGTCGCTAAGAACCAATCATTGGCCGCCCGTATGTACCTTCAACAGGTGAGATACGAGGTGGTTGATCGCTACTACTCAACGGTTTTGCGTATAAATAGGCGCCGTCTCCTCATCTTGGAGCCATTTGAACTATCCTTCTCAGTGCCAGTTCTCTGTGCCTTAGTCACTTCCTATTTTATCCGATACTTCATTTATTCTCTGATCACAATGTCAACGCTCACCAAAACCCTACCCCTACCCCGCACTGTCGATTGAGTCAGACTCAGACAAAGAGTCTTGAATACGAGGACAACGAGCTACAAGAGTTGGTAAACATTTATACCCGCCACTAAAGACGGGCAGATATTGAATACATCGCTGAGAGTGCTTCTCTGTTTATTCCACGCACCAACTTGGTGCATGGTCAAGGACCCATCACCGTCGTCACTGGAAGGGTTCGTGGCTGTGGAGGTTTGACATACTCCTCGTCATATTCAGCGATGGCCACAAACACCTCACGTCGGTCTCGAGATATATCCTCTCGGTGCTGTATTTACAATCTGTTCGTCTTTTGTGGGCGGATATAAATGTTAACTATGACATTGGACTTGTGGGCTTACCCATCTGGGGCCAATTCTTCTGGCAATCCGATGCTAATATTCAAGCAGGATACTTGGGCTAGCAAGCATTCTAGATCCTCCAACAAAGGATGGCAGATCGCTAATACGGCGCCGAGAGTATACCTCGATGTTTATGTAGTGTATTCCACGCACTGAATTGGTATATGGTCAAAAAGGACCCATCATCGTCGTCAATCGAAGGGTTCGTAGTTGTTGAGGTTTGATATACCCCTCATCGTATTGAGCGACGGCCACGAGCACGTCATGTCGTCCTCGATATATGCTACCAGCGCTGGATTTGCTACCTTCTCGTCCTTTGTTGGAGGATATAGAAGCTTTACCAAATTTCGCATTGGACTAGTGGGTTTATCCATGACCTGGAACCGATTCTTCTAATAATCTGATACTTGTTGTTGTACTATTCAACGTCCGGGGGCACATGGGCCATGCAATCTGATACTGATAGTGAAGCAGGATACCTGGGTTGGCAACCATTCTAGATCCTCCAACAAAAGACAAGAAATCATGAATACAGCGCTGAGAGTATTCATCCAGTGTTTATATTCCACCAATTTGGTGCATGGTTAAAAAGGATAAGTTGAGGTTTGACATTCCCCCCGTCATATTTAGCGACGGCCACGAACACCTCATATCGTCCTCTCTATATACCATCAGCGCTGTGTTCACAATCTGCTCGTCTTTTGTTTATGGATACAGGATATTCTCCGTACTAACTCCCGCATTGGACTGGCGGATTTCTTGGTTGAGGCCGAGTCTGGCAATCTAATGCGAATAGCAAAGCAGTATACTTGAGTTGATGGGACAGATCTTACATTATCTGCTCTTTCTTCCGTGCTGATATGGTTGACGAGCAGCTGTAGTCAAGATTAGAATGACTGTGCAACCGCTACCGATCGAAGGAAAATTATACCAAGGACAATGGAAAATTATCCTATGGGTATTTTATCATATAGTGTTAGCGTGCAATGCTAGTCAAGTTAAACGTCCCAGGTATAACGAGGAGCGGCGAACATGGGTTGCAGAAATCAAATCAACGGCTTTATGCACCGGATTTCCACGGCAGAGGTGCTATCAACTAAACCTACTGAGGCTACACAGAACTACAAGAAACACAGAGTATTGTTAATTGTAATATTGACAACTGATTCTATACTATGATAGAGGCAGTAGATCAAATCCCACGAGGCGAACTTGATCAAGCAAGGTTGTAGAGCTTGCTGTATGTGGAAAACCACACAATGTTGAAATGGTAAAACTAGCACCAACCGAACACCACAACGAAAGTAGGCTGTAATGTTGGCTAGCGCCAGTTTAAAATAGTCAGTAATGTTGAAACTCCAGGCCCGCTTTTGGTATCCTC